TATAAATTCAAGAATGAATATTTCTTCGATGTCATTGTAGTAAAATACGATATGACCGATTCTACGATCGACTGAACCTGTTCTCCGTCTCCTGACGGTCCCAGCACAGGTGATCACGGGAGACCTGAAGTGTGACTGTCCTGTACCCTGCAGAATGACGTCATACAGCACGTCCCTGTCCTTCGCGGGATTTCCCAACAAACACACAAGGGAATACCTCTCCCCGCTGCTGGGGATGGAGCCAAGCTACATGGGGTAAGTTTGGAATCACAACACAGTATCAAATCGGTAAGACAGAATCAAATTGGCCAGGCAAAAAAATTACAGGGCATTAATGAATGACCTTTATTGTACACACATACCCAAGTACAGGTCACAACAAAAGAATGAAATACAGATAACGTTACAGATATACATTGTCAAGTAGCTACAATTAAGTAAATTCGGTTTCTTCTCGTTTCTTAGTAATGGTAAAAAGGTAGAAACAGATATCTTTCACAATAGAAGGTTTGTCTAAGTTCATTAGAAATATGAATTTATCTGCACATTTAAAAATGTATGAAGATGGGGAACATAGATTGTATCAGATTATAAAGGAGAGGGGCAAGGAGACTTTATGTTGGCCGCCTGTATCCAAAGTTCGCCCCGATTATAGTTTACATTTTACTAATGAGAAGACGAACATTTTCCTACAGATGTTTTCATTTGTAACATACAGTATTCGTTTCAGGGACAACGGGGTCGTCTTCAGCGTGTTCTACGAGAAATTGAACTATCAAAAAATCAGGCAGCTGAAAGCCATGGAAGAAGGACAGCTGGCAAGTACGTGATAATGAACTTGAAACTTTTCTGTCATTTGCCGCCGAATTCCTCGGCTAAAAATATCATCAGAAAAGTTGACTAATGTTATTTTCAAAGTTCAAAACTGTGTTGTGTCTCTGTTCTTGCCGATTGTCCTGAATATCGCCGCAGAAATAATGCCTGGTCAGGCTAGTACTGAATTCAGACTTCAATGGATTTTTAATGAGGAGGTATATAAACTTGTAATTCTGCATGTTCTTCCAGGCGTCTTATAAGCCCACATGGGCTGGGCGCATAAAACATGTATTCATTTACCACCATTCGCCATGCATTCGGTAGGTCATGGGTTCGATTTCCGGCCAAGTCATACCAAAGACTTTAAAAATAGGTAAAACTGCTTTCTATGCTTAGCACTCAGCATTTCAGCATGAGTATGGTAGTTAACGCACACCACTACCAGAGAACTAACCCCATACTGTAGTGACTGTTGTGTGTGGCCCGGAGCTATTGAAAACGGAGATGAGCGCCGCCCTATGCGTCACTTGACGCGGGAAAGCTCTTCAACTTTTTTAAACGTACGCTAATGTGCATTATCATATAGCCAGTAGCCGTCGACCAATCAGAAGGCTCCATTTCCCATGGGTTATCAGGCCATAACCTAAAAAGTGGGCGGTTATTCACTTTTTGGAGTACCATTATACTCGTTTCACTCGGTGGCTTATTCGGTGGTTATCGCTCCCGACCAGGGGTTATCTCACCATATACACCTCGGGGCGGGGCATTAACCCTTTATTCTGTATTGGATGGTTGGGTGTATGTATGTATTGCTTGGATATATGAATAAAAAAGTGTGCATTCACCCCCCTCCCCAGGTAACATAGGCGGGATGATGGGGCTGTTCCTGGGCGCCAGCGTGCTGTCCCTGCTGGAGGTGTGTGAGTACCTGCTGAAGCGGCCCCTGGGCTTCCTGGGGAGAACTCGGCACGCCAAGGTGGTCCATGTTCAACCGCAGGAACCAAAGTCAGCCACAGCCTTACACAAGTGAAGGTCTACGTATCCAAATCCTCTGTCGTGATAAGAAAAAGCATTAAACTGATATGTATGACTAAAGATGACATCCGTCATCTTCCTTCAGCTGAGTTATAACGTTAGACCTTAAGAAAGTTGCTGTACTTTGTTGTGTCAATAAAGTTCCCTATGTCAAATCTTTACGGGAATATGATAGATGTTGTAGATATTTATTGTCTAGAGGATGCCGGCTGGATGCTGTTCCGTTCATGTTGTTAGTATCTGCATCTAGCACACACATGTATGATAGATGTTGTAGATATTTATTGTCTAGAGGATGCCGGCTGGATGCTGTTCCGTTCGTGTTGTTAATTATCTGCATCTAGCACACACATGTATGATAGATGTTGTAGATACATGTATTTATTGTCTAGAGGATGCCGGCTGAATGCTGTTCCGTTCGTGTTGTTAGTTACTAGTACCTGCATCTAGCACTGTCTTGAGCTAAGTTCGTTGCTGTTGTTTTTGTTATCTTTCTTACGAAACATTGGTTTGATTAACGATAGATATACTTTGAATTACGTTGTTTCCTTGATTGATTTGACTGAAAATCTTGTTTCGATAGATTGTTTATCAGTATTATTTATTAAGCTTGTAGATATTTTTCATTACGTTTGTCGTTTTCTTTTTACTTCTGTGTATAATTTATCATTGTTTTCCTTTTTCTGGTTACTTTATACATACATACATACATACATACATACATGTATTTGTTAACCCCTCTATGTGACTTGTAACCAGTTGTTGTGTATTGCAAGGGGCTAGCCCTTCGTATTAGCCCAGGCTGTGTAGAGTGGAACAAATAAACACACAAATAAACGGTCAAATTCTTTTATTTATTTATTTGTTTGGCTGAGTTGTGAGATATGACCGGAGGGTTCCGCGCACCACCTTCGCTAAGTTTACCAGGTGACATTCGGTAATACTGACCCATTTCCACCAGCAATAGGGTCGTCTTCCTAAGTATTAAATACACAGGGAAATCGTTACTCAAGTCACCAGTATCGTGCAAACACCTACGTTTGGTGATGATGGGAGACTAATTTAAACGGAAGAGCCTCTTACATCATATTGGCTTGCTCTGTCCGACAAACATACTAATATTGGCTCTAAAACGTAAAGTGAACAATGACAGGCACTAAAAACTATTGTCATGGTAACGATTGAATGTGTGGTGATTATGTAACAATGATTATTTACGGCATTGCAGGTTTTCGGTGCTTTCTGTTGCCAAACCGAAATGATTGTTTTGTTTATAGAGCACAGGGGTACTGCCCGACCCAATGTAGTCATGTTTGTCATTGATGGGGTTAATACCTGACAAACCGTGTCTTACTCGTATTCTGGGGGCAAACAGAAGCCACCGAGGCCTGCACTGGGGACAACCTATTTCCGAGGACCAATAGATGTTCACTTGGCATTCTCGGAAAATAACAAACATATTTGTCATCCTTGCAGACTGATTACGAATTAGGCTCGCCCCTGAGGCGTCGCGAAAAGGAAGAGACAAAATGAAAAATGGTAAAAGAGGGAAGTGTGCGATATATCGCTTCCGAGACAAAAGATGAGGCTTCTAACCACTGAACCAGACTAAGGACCGTGGAGAGGTGATTATTCTTATTTTTTCTATTCGACGTGAGCATGTACCCACAAGCCCCAACAATGGAGATAGAAAAACAACATATTTTAACTCCATGCCCCAACATACAGGTGTGTTTATAAAACAACCTTTACCTTGCCCCTTGAATGACCCTGCATTGACGAGAGAATGGGTGTTTGGCAGCTGAGAATTCGTCCATCTATGAAATTTCCTGTGCAACATTCCACAAAGATTGTTACCAAGTCTGTAAAATATGCAATATGGCAAAGTACTTTTTCTCACAGAAATATCCTTAAAGCCAACAGCAGGTTTGAATCTTTCTCCGAGTTTGTAGCCATGAAAGATAACACCTCTAGTTTGTTTGCAAACGGACTGAAGAGCCTCATATACATAGAACCAACTTTTCCTGTTGGACGGGTCCCCGCACCATGTATGCTCTCTGTCACCACCGGGGAAAGTACACACAAATCCTGTGGGACACCTGTCGTGTTTCCCACCATCTACCCTCCTAAACTCCCTGCCTGTCTATCGTGGCTACCCGGGAGTGGTCAGTAACAACAGTGACGAGCATCTGTTCGGAACATGACGGGTCGGCAGCTGGGATTAAGCCGTGTTCTCAAGAAGAGCGACCGCCGTGTCAAGTTTCCACCCTACCTGCAGAGGTGGCGGTGGGAGCCAAGTTCGACTAGACTCCATCTTCAATGCCGAAATGGAAGCAAAGAGTCAAACTATTCCTTTAATAGGATCCAGCTGGATTTCCAACAGGGGAATGGGGAGATGAGGAGCCGAACCGGAACAGACGATGGTTAGATTTTCTGTTATCTGTTTTTTTTTCTGGATGTACAAATTTTGGCATGATTTCAAATTCCACTTTTTCCATGTACATTTCTCTACATAATGTTTATGCTGTGCTTGTTGTCTATTTTCCCCTTCCTGTTACATACGACGAAAAGAGCATTCATAATTATCTTTATTCCAGTAATTTTGATACATGTGGTAAACTACTGCTGTGAGTTAAGATAGCCTTAATTTGTCTTCTGGTTCTAGATACAATGCGTAAGTACACATCCGCTTGCAATCTCTCTTCTTCAGTAATGCTGACACCACACTATAGTTTAAAAAAACATCTACAAAATGTTCACGTTGTTCTGATCCTTTCCAATTCAATGCATTTACTAAAGAGGATAATGGATCTAAAGGTACCCAACTTTGCTTTGGTGTATCCTTGCTTACCGTAAACCATACACCTTGTTTCATGGTCAGCAGAAAAATGATAGTCAGCAAGAACATAAAAATATGCCAAGGGACTCAAGGCGTCACAATGTCGTTATACCCCAAGTTTCTTCATTGGATACATGATGGTTGAATATGTTCTTAACCAATCTCATGCCACCTATGTTCTATCGCTAATTTTTCACGTGGACAGGTGGTGCTTCTTGTTCCGTCAGATTTAGCCAGCGAGGTGCGCCACCTATGAGGTGAAGCATGAAATGCATGTGTAGGTCAGGAAAGACAGCATCCCGAGCAGCCCTTGTAACGCCTGCTTCTCCCCTGCTATTGGCAGTTAGTCCTCACTCCTAGTGAGCATTTGAGCTGGTCTCAATCATGATGCTTCTGACTTAGGGAGAAGAAATGCTGTTAGTTTCTCGTAAGCTATGTCAGTTCTAGTTTATGTTTATGTTTATTAGGAATCTCCATTAGTACTAGTAATACAATGTTTGTTTACTAGTCTTCCTGGAGTCCTTTAACATTACATTTAAAAGATGAAATATAATCAATAACAGAGTTAACATACGAGTAATAGCTACAATTACAACATGTATTTACAACAACATCATCAGTCAACAACAACAGTCATCTGGGCGAAGCTTTTCGACATCTAGCAATGTTTTAAAATCATTAAATACACGTTAATGTATCAATTGTGCAACAATAAACATACTATGAGACGAATCTAAGTTACAAAAGACTCCACACTATGAAATGAGATGTGATCAAAACAATCCCTGCATGTAAATCAAGGTAAGTCCGGCTCAGAGTCAGAGCAGGTCTTGTTCAGACTTACCATGGCTCCCATTATCGACATAATGGGAGCCATTATGTCGATAACAAATCTGCACTCTGTGAACTCCAGAAGCACAGCTACATAAAACATTACCAGGTGCCCTTAGGGCATTATTTTGTCACTGATGCGTACCTGTTAACCTCCAACCCTGCATACCTAGGTAAATTTACCACTGTCTGTCCCTTCCGTTAGGACCGGTCGCTTCCTTGTCCTAGTATATTCATGCAATATACAGAGACAGGATTACACGGAGCTTCAACAAGAAAGATTCCAGCCCCTCAGTGTTGGACCGACACAGACACAAGTGGGCCAATTATCCTGCCTAAACATGCCGAGATAACATTATAGAGCGCGTCTCAGCCTCAGGCGATGGCTCTGGGAGAGGGGTGCGCCATTGTAGCAGGCCTCTCACCTGTGAAGCTCCCGGGCACAGGCTTTTGTTGGCTGGTAATAACTGACATTTTGGCGCGGTACAAGGCCGGACGTGATTACGGTATGATCACTCTAACCTTTGACATGATGAAAACTCAGCAAACAATTTATCACTGCCGGCTACAGCGAGCACTTCTGACTTCAGCTTCAGTCTTATTTCATTTGCACACAATTTTAGTTTACTTTCAGTATCCGATTCTTGACGACGAGTCCTGGTCAAAATATATGGTGGGAATACCAGGAAGGGAAGCTGAAAATCAGAATAACTACTTCCACGTAAACCACTCGATCTTACAGGCCGTATAAGTATTAAATAAAGCTGCCTGTAGTCACTGGAAGTCGTTGCCTTGGTGTCCTGCCAGTCAGGACTGACTTCTGATATGGTGATTACACCTGCCTCAATTTTGATACTAGTTAAGGTCACGCCTGAAGAGGAATTATATAAGCTCTAGTATCAGCTGCTGCCCTGCTAATCACGGTGTTCCCTACTGTAATCAACGCGTCTTACTCAGTATATAGATAAACACTACTAGATAAACACAAACAACCCCATTTCCCCGAATGTTCGTGTCAGGAAGAACTTCTGAACTACATGTATCAACAACATCTTTGTTATTGGCACATTCCAATGTGCGTTGAAATATCGAAATTCACTAACGCGGACAAACGCCTTTTACTTGCTTTGTACGCTTTTATACTTTTCTCTCCATGTTATCCGATAACATTGTGGGCGTTTTAAAAGTGTACAAATCAAGTAAAAAGGCGCCTGTTGGAGTTAGTGAATTTAGATATTTCAATGCACATTGGAATGTGCCAATAACAAAGATGTTCTTGACAGTTAAGAAGACCTCCAACAAACAATATTTCTGCTAAGACGGCAAAACCCACTTATCATTAAAACATGGGACTAGCTATCTAGAAGCCACTCCCTCCAGAAAAGAAGTCAAACCCTTCAGTAATGTACGTAGAGACATTGGATAGATCTATAGACCAGATCTAGACTTTTTTACTTTAACGTTATCATAACAGCGTGTTCCCTTGCAGTTAGCCTTTGGGTAAGAGTTTGCAATAAAGATTGATGAAAATATTGTTTTCACCACCCCCACCCCATTCTCCCGTTCAAAAAAAGGGAAAAGTCTGATAAGACTAAAATTGATAAGTAGCATTCCAAATTGCCCGAAAATCTGTCTTCAAATCTAATTCAGGCCACAGGACGTAATTTTATGGATGGCATCAGTTCGCGCATTAATTTTCGCCTGATTTGGGAAACAAAAACAAGAAATTTTGTTGTCCGCTGACAGTGGTCAACATGCCGAAAATGGGCAAAGATTTCTGTTGCCATGCCGGAATGTGGATGGCAGATAACAATGAAGAGAGGAGACAAGAAAAGGCTCTGATTTAATGTTTTGTATTTTACTTTGATGCAGTGATGTATTTCATTCCTTTTATATTTGATGGTGGCTGTGTATATGTGATGAATCAAAACCAAGTACATTTGTACAATGATTCCTGATAAGTCAGAACTTATGATATGGATATTGTAATAGTTGGCAGTAAACTTAGCACAGTATAGGTATATCATTTCTTGTTTAACAAGGTTTATGAAATTGGAAAATGTAGGGATCTTGTTTTTTGGCCCGCCTTGTTTTTTTCGCCCTCTCGCACTAGATTTGGAGTCTGCGGAGGATGTCATCCATAAAATGTACTTGCTGTGGCCTTAGTGAAGAAAAATGTAATAAAGGTCAGACCATGATTTTTACCTCCATGGTCAGACGCAGTAATGTACATGTAGCGTATACGTAGAAATGTGCTTCCAAAATTAAATACTTATATAGGTAAATACACGACGGAAATGTGGAACAAGTAGATACAGTAGCCTGGGGCTAGACATATGCTGATTGGCAAACAAGAAAACATGCAGGTATTCTGTCACGGGTGTACCTTGTGTTGACAACACGGAGCGCACTTCCGTGTCAACATTGGACACAGGACAGTAGGACTACCTCAATCACCACTTCGCCTCTGTCCCTCATTTGACCAATGGGATTGATTTGGCCTTGATTCGAAGAGAGTTTTTTCCAGATCTGGGTTGGGCCGAAGCCCGCTGTGCCCACATGCTTATCAATCAGCAAGGATGACTATAATGATAGATAATTGTCCACGAGGGTGACATTCCCGATGTGTCACCGGGTACACAATGGAGAGGATAACGATAGCCTCGGTCTGTAGAGCCGCCCACTGGTGAACAGTCATGGCGACAAAACCATCCAGGCATCGCTTGTATGTACTAATAATCTAAAGAAATCAGTCCTTCAGTTGTACAGATTGTGTGTTTGAGTCTATCCTCATGCCGCCAGCACAGTGAGACCATGTTCTCATTTATCGTCACTGCCGAAAGGATGGGCATTCTGCAACTGATTAAATTGTCCACCCAAAGAACAGGTGTTGCCCAATGACAGTCTTATCAAAGAAGTTTATTCTAGCATTTCCTAAAAACAATTATGTAAATGCAGTCCTTACTTGCATGAGTTATGTCTACCGATGTTCACCTTCAGTAAACTTCCAAATGCCACAAGTATGCAATTCCCATTATTTACCAGTATGGAATCATATTATTTTCTCGTTGATTGTGCAAATCGCGGGTTTAATCGGGTCTTCATTTGCATGGTTAATATCTGTCAATGATCCTCTCATTCTCAATTACATATGTCACATGTTTGAATAGTCCTATCATGGAGCGCAGCTGATATATAGAAATTCCTCATTAATCATACAATGAGATCTTGATTTCCATAGAAGTTAAAAAATCATGACCACAGCATGTCTAGAACACGAGATTGAAAAAAAACAGAATTTCCGTTGCAGTACCATAGCACGCTGCTGGGGGGGGGGGCTAAATCAAATCGTTTCAATGTTTTATCAAGAATTGCCCACATACCAAATATCATTACGATCCATAACGACTTCCTTAGTTTTGCTGTTAAGACAGAGAGACATACAGACAGATACACAGACAGACAGATATACTCAGTCTCAAAGAGGATTACTTTACTGCATGCAATGGGTAGTCTGAGCTCGGATAATCTCCTTTCATAGAATGTCGGGAGTCATGTTAACCTCCCACCACACAGACACACCTACTTCTTGAGTCATGTACTTGCAAAAATAAAAGTTGAATGACTGTCTCTACAATCTGTACAAAGACGAGGGCGTACAAAGGTATTTGAAGAATCTTTTCCCGTTAGTAAACTACAAAATGAGAGACTAGCCAAACGATATACTGATACAAGTATTTCTCAACACGTACGGAAAATACTGAATAAAGTCATGTCTTAGCGACCCCTTGAGATTGTGTGTCTGTCTCATCGACAGAAGAGATGGCCATTCTTTGTAATCCTGTCATAAAGACAACTTACATCCAGGTTACTTTGTTATATCCGTTCCTAATAAAGGGGATCTGTCAGTCACGTAATGTGGTTTGGTTGGCTGCTTGTGCTATTGACATTCATACTAAAGAAGGAAAACCCGTAGTTTCCAGCCCCTGTCACACATTCAGGACCTGCCCCCGACCTTGCCCCCGGACACCAGCCGACCAAGCAGTCGACCAGATTTAGGCCACATTCATACTTTTTAATACGAGTCGAATTTCAGTTAAATTTAAGTCAAATTTGACCATTGAACACGCCCAGAACACTGCTGACCTGCTCGACTCCCGAACGACAGCCAACCACCGACCGAACCTCCCGTCCATACCCGAATGTTTTAAACATTTTGAAACATTCGGCTGATGCAGCCAAAGAGTAACCGACCTCGCCAACCACAGCCGACCTTGCTCCTGACCTACTCCTAACCCCTTACCACAGTTGGGGGAGGCCAGATTCGGCTATGTGTCGATTGAGTCGTTTCAAATTCCGAGTCAAATGACTCCTCCCGAATGGTTGGCTGGTGTCCTGCTGACTTACAGTCAAATACCAGCCAACCATGGACGAACCTCCCGACCAACACACTAATTTCGAAACATTCGGCTGGCGCAGCTGATTATAGTAGGCAATCTCTGCCGAACACCAGCCCACTTACTTAGCCGACTTTTCGCCGACCTACTCCTAACTATGGTTGGGGGCGGTCGGCTAGTATTCGGGAGGCCAAACTATATGTGCCGGGGGTTTAAGGTCACATTTACGTTCACATCAAGATTAAACTTAAGTCTTAACTGTCCATTTGACGAGGTGACTATAGAAGTTATAAACTTTTAATGTCCCATTGACATACACACCCCTCTATACATCTGCCATTTAAGACATGGATTAAAGTCTCGTTATATCTGTTATCACAGAACAGGTAGTTTTGTTCCTGTGTGTTGATAAAGTTATCTTCGTATAAACCTGCCTACCATTGTATAAATGTTTATTCGTGTAAGCTATCTCCGTAACAACAGACCATAGTGGCATCTGTTCTACATATTTTACAAAACCTAAAGTCCACACTCGGAGGATTGTTATCCTGTGATGAACTGGCCGTGGACATCCTTTATTTATCTCGTGTGTATAGAACGGTAAAACCATGACGAGTTACGTCTACAGCTTTCCTTGTGACACAAATTGATATATACCCTCACGGGAGTTCAAAAGGCACAGAGGCCTCACAGTACAGCATACTTTGCATGTTTACAGGGCCATTTCCACGGGATAACAGGTGTTACCGTTGCTTATTTGTGTAGGCTTGCCGACCAAACAGTCCGCCTACGCCTGCAAAAACACCCCAGCAAGAATTTGAACTGTTGTTAGGGGCACAGATCTTACTGTTAGCTGAATGTATACTTATCGGTTCCGCTCTGAACGCTCAGTAACTACTTGTCACTTGAAGAACGAATGGGTGATGGCTGTTTGTCGTCAAATACTAAAGAACGATTGAGAAATTTTGTCTTTTCTGGTAGCTGCTATGCAGGAAGAAGATTGTTGTTATTTCTGAGTTGGTGGGCTATTAGTACTCAGCTCGAACTTTCATAAACTATACAGTCATTCATTGTCGACGTATCTAAACAGCTGTTTATGGCTGTGTTGTTATCATAAAACTTATGGGAATGTAGTGTGTATATTCGGTTTACACATAAATTCAACTAGTTAATCACAGTTTCATATTACGCACCGTTGCCCGTAGTAAAAACACAAACAACGCTAATGTGTGTATATTAGGAGTTATACAGACCTTCAACTTAAGATTTCACAAGGTCACGTCTAAGTTGGTCAACGAAGAGTAAACAAAGCACAGGCCCATGTCTATCTCAAGATAGATTTACTTTAATAAGACAAGATAATATAGCCTGAAACCCAGCCTTGTTAGCTATAGTTCGCTCCGAACAGGCTGGCATGGATTTCAGGCTAACAAGAGTATTTTTACACCTGTAGAATTTTCGCAGAAAGCTAGAATGGAGGCACTTCGGTAACTTTCAGACCAGTTAATGTTAATGTTTCCTTCTACCAGGGACATTATGTAGAGATATCATGTTCTTGCTTCTACAATTTACACCTTTTATGGTCATGGGAAAAAGAATTGAAGTTGTCTTGCCCAGGGCTGCTAACAGGTGCATCTATTCATTTTTTCTCATGGAAATTTTCTTCGAGTCAGACACAATTTTGGGCCAACCCCCGCCGCCATTTTGTTTTCATTGGCCTTTCATCTCCCAGGTGAGATAATACGTTAATTCGCACCTTTCTTGGCGCGGACAATGCCCTGGTTGCACTGAAAACACCCCCAGGCTACGACCATTATTCAAGAATCCAATAGAAGCCATCTTGAAGATAAACTTTTCAGGTAAACAAGCTTTACGAGTCCAACTCGTCGTTCCTAATGATAAATCTTACAGTGGACTTCCGACTAGAGAGACGAGCGAGTTAAACATCAAGTGCATGAGGGAGGAAAGCGCGGGAATTTTGGGAGTTTTGAATGAACAGTTTAGACAACAAAATCAGTGCGTCGTGCCCGAAGAAAATGAACAGACATGTGTTTTCATATGCTAATTCATGATGCCTCATTGACATGCCAATCAGTGAAGCCATCTTGGAAACCTATAAGCCCCGACAGCGCCAGAGGGGCCATTCACAAACGGGTGAACGCCCCGGATAATTGGTCCGAGTCACGGAGCGACAACTTGTTGCTTCCCTCGCGGTGAATCTCGGCTGTTGGCACCAGCTCGGCGCATACCGACGCACCACTCAGGGACGCCCTGCTCACCTTCGGCAGCTCACCGCCGGACTCCTGCTGCCTCCTCCGACCTTCCTCCACTCCACACCGCCCCAAATCACCTCACACATCCACCGCCGGTGTGTCTGACCACATCCTCGGCGCCAGTGTTTGAACCAGCTGCTCAGGTCTGACGGGTTGGGGTGGCATTCCGTCGCGGGCGATAGCTACCATGACGCAAGAAGTGGACAAGTAAGTCTCTCGGCGAGTTCTGTTTGGAGTCCGAAACCACTCGAAGAACCAGTCGAGCACCCCTGCTTAACTAACAGTAGCGGTCCATCTGGCCTTTTAATACTTAGTCTGGCCAACAGGTGTTGGGGTAACAGGTTAGGTTGGAAGGAAGCTTGTATACATTATAGTACAGGAACAGGCTTATCTGCCCCGCGCGTAGAGTTGAGATTTACTGGCATTGCGTGAGAGCCTCGAAGTTTTGGGACGGCGCTCCCCCGCCGGGGTCTTAGACGGGAAGAGCACACCTGCGAACCGATCGCCAAGAAAGATTAACTCTACGGTTCACGTGTTGGTGTTTGGAGCGCTTGTGCCGTGTGGGAAAATTGAAAGGAACTGTTTATACTTTTTCGTCAAAATTGTGTGGACATTTGACGTTTGTTTAGGCAGGTAAACAGCCACAGCGGTTATGTCGCGATGTGTGTCTTGTATACTTGACACGTTTACACAATTGTTGTACCCGATTCCAGGGTAATAACATTCCATCCTCGCTAAAAGTTTTCTTACGCCGGATTTCAAGAATGTGACGGAATTGTAAACTTTAGACGCTTTGACAGGTGGGCGAAAATAACTCTCTCACCACCCACCATGACTTTATTTACCCAGTCTCTGTCGAAGCTCTTTCAGTTGTAAGTGACTCTGCTCCTTCCGAATACCTCCTTCAAATGTAACACTCAAGTATTGCCAAAACAACTTACTACCGGGACATTAGGATATTTGGGCTACTCCTTGAACCAACGACTGTTCCCCATAGATGTCTGCGTTGTGCCCCGCTTATCTGTAGTTGTTACTTGACGTTGTGTTGTTATCTGTGTCATATTCTTCCTTATTAATTCTCTCCACTAGTCTCATATTCTTTCTAGTACATGTAGTGTTTGTTTTGACAAGACCACCAATACTACAGCAGCATAATACTATAATTAATAGAATCAACGTGCCTTTCCGGTACATATATAAAACGGCATACATGCAAGTTGAAAGGTTTTATCTCGGGTATAAGTTTATCGTTGTAAACTACTAGTACTGCATGTAGCATATCGAAGGAAATTCGGCGGAAAATCTCGTGCTCTTGGTTATGTGCACCTCCTTTGTTAGTTAGTTTTGGGTTGCGCACATTCCACAGGTCACTGTTAGCGAGTGGTGCCAAACGTGTGTGACATACACTTTATCGTCTCTAATGACTGAAATAATGCAGTTGAATTAAATCACCCCTCATCACAACACATATAAACCGACCCAAACGTTACGAAATTCCCAAAACCTGGGATCGTCCGTTTTCCTGTTTTGTATGTACTTCTGTGGAGTTCTCGATGGAGGTCTTAGACCGTGCATCAAAAGCTACAGTCTCAGTAACTACATGCACTTGCTTATGGGTGAAAATACAGCACTTGGTGGTATGTGACAGGTTGCCTGGATTTGCAACTACTATTGCATGTTATTTATGTTTTACATATCGCTGATATTACGCCTACTCCACTCTAGTGTTGGTGTACTATTCCATATGTGACCACCAACACTATGGCTTTCCCGGGCTTAAAGTTTTTGTAGAACAGACAATTTCTTCCAATGTAGTTTGTGTTGGAAGCTAGAACAAAGGTGCTTTCTTCACTACCTGTACAGACAACTTATCATCTGAAACAAGATGGCGTTTCCATGATAAGTCAAGTCTCTGTTTGGGACATTAGGACAGAATGTGGTCATGAAAAAGACACATAATAGTTTTAGATTCTTTGCGTGAAGACAATTCTGTTTTTGTGGTTCCCATTCTATCACGACTTTCGTATGACAACTGTCAAATCATTTATACTGAAATGAACGCATTGAAATCAGAAGACAACGAGGGCTTTTGTCCCTTCAATGCCCATGGCCGTTTGCCCGGGTCATTTGAATGGTTTCTACAGACCAATGAACTGCACTCATACTAAATATCCAATATGCGCTTATGTTAAGTGCTGTGTACCTAAACGTAACGTCAGGTACGGGTACAGGGACCACTACAGAGTAGTGTACAAGTTAGGCTTGAGCTAGGTATTCTATATAGAGACTTCAGGAAGCTTAACAGAGAGTCCATGCACGAGAGAAAAGCGAATCAAGATGATGCTTATTTCACCGTCGGTACACGTCAACACGTCAGATAATAAGATTTTCCAGTGTGAACGTGCGAATGTGCAAAACTTCCTCGAGAGAGGGCTAAGAATTGCAAATTCCATCGTAATTTGTGGTGAATAGAGATTACTATCTTGTATCCCAGAAACGCCCGAGGCTGTAGCATGCCCAGTCTGTTAGAAACTGAAGGCTATTACAAAACCCACTGTGTACTGCCTGCTTCAAGCACATAAGAAAAAGGAAGGGGAAAAAACACTGCTAGACAACTAGTTGCAAAGGCCAGCCTCGTACCAATGAGTTTCAAAGCTCCTTGCTCAGGCACACGGAAGGTAGTTACTAGTATGCTTTGTTGTGTTGTGTTGAGTAGACAAAGTTTAACTGTTGCCGTAATTTGTCGTCATGTAGCTCCAAGCGATCGGTAGTGGTACTGCAGAACGAAGCCCTGTACAGAAACACGTATAGCAGTAGAGATGAAGACGAGGCATGGCGCTCCTACTTAGAGAACCCTCTGACAGCCGCCACCACTGCCATGCTCAACATCAACGGTGACGAGGACAGCGCAGCCGCACTGGGACTGCTCTATGACTACTACAAGGTGAGTGCACGATGCTGCTCCATCACAGCAGAGCTAGTAGGGCGTCACCAGTTTGTATTATTTGACCAAGGAGGTTAAATACAAAAGGAGACAGGACAGTATTTGTATTTAACCTCCTTGATTTGACCAAGGAAGGTTTCCTTTTGAACCTCCTTGATTTGACTTCGCTCATAAAGGAAATTGAAAAGGCATTTATCTACTTTCTTCAGATTATATGCATTAAGTTATCTGCATCCAAACACGATAGTCTCACTGCCTAGAAATAAAGCAATGTTCTTAAAATAGATCAAATCGTTGTCAATCTACAAATAAACACGCCGTGGATTGAGTTATTTTATCGTCATGCAAACCACATACATCATCATACTCATTCGGGATTGAAATAAGCGATTTTGGAAATGTTTTTGACCTCTTGGCTGACACCGTATAATTCATCCCAAACCCATGGCAAATACTTTTTTAAAAACGAGACAAAAACTTAACTGTACCCGGATACATTTTACATTGTCGCAAAATTATCGAAATATGAACATAATTTTGTTGTTTTTTTAGGATTGTAACCCGTCCTCCATCGCCGCACCGCTGGGGGTATGTTTGTTTTACATTTTCGGTACAGAGTAGAACCAAAATTCTTAAAAGCAAAATGACGAAACTAAACATTGCATTACACCCAACATTAAGCAAGCAGATGCATGTAACGGAACAGAAGGCGTGCTGAAGGGGTCAGAAGGTGCTTGCTACCCTGGTTGGGAGGCAGAAAGCTTGTCTTACTATTAAAGCGGCGAAGGTGGTGGAGGGCGTGGTCTCAGTACATGCAACAACCAAGTACTGTAGTGTTTCTAACAGCTTCAGATGCAGATAACTGGTATGATGTTGCAAAGATGTAGATGAAAAAAATCTCCGTTGAATAACTGGCCGGTTGTGCTTACAGGTGCCAAAGGAGAAGCGAATGAATGCCAACTTTGTAACTAGAACACCCATGGGTCCACCGGACACAGAACAACCAAGGTAGTGCCTTTTTTTTCTAATTTTATATATTTACCTATTGGTACACAGTAAGGGCTATCACCTTCTATAATGTAATTGAATTTATCTGTAGCATGGAATGTATCAAATTCTGTTGAGCCACCGGAAAGGACGTTGAGCAGCTTTGTGCGTTTATCATCATATCCAGGATAAAGTGACGTTCATCCGTCTTTCTCTCCCCGTCCTCCTAGCAGGGACCTGACGATGTTGCGTAACGTGCCCCTGGCAGACTCCATCACGTCCACGGGGTTTGACGGCCACCATGCCCACAGCTCCGCCATCACCACCCAGCCCCCCGCCGCCTCCCCACTGACGGTACGGGCGGACCATCACATCCACATCCACAAGCCCGACCACTCGCCCATGCTCGTAGCCAAACCAGACGAGATGGACAGAACTCCGGACAGTGCCTTCAGCGAGGCAACTTTCAAGGACCACCAACAAGAGGTGAGCTTCTGGAGGATCAATTTTGGTGCACAACAGACAGAATATAGAACATGAAATCGCACAACCACTGGTACAATAAGGTGTATTTTGAACTCTACTGAAGAGAACCGGGGAAAGGATTGAAATTATAAGATAACCGACAGAAACTATATTGACAATTATATAAGGGTGTTTCACAATAGTGAATTCTCTGTCACCCTTTCTATCACACAAACTCTCGGAGAAACCCTGTGCCTAACATGGAAATGCCGCTTGAAAGAGTTATATATCTGTGCTTCACACTAGGCGCTTTAAAGCATCCAATGCAGCCAAGGCAAACAAAAAATCATTTTGGACGAGGAAATACGTCTGCCATTTCCTAGCACATCTATTCTACGACAGAAAACAAGCAAAAGAATGACAAGAAAATTGACTTTGAAAGTTTGCCTTCCTGAAATTGCATTTGATGCAAAGGTGGTGGAACTTTTTCATTCATTCACTCTGTGCATGACCCCATTTCATTCCCCTCACCTCTCGACTTCCTCCTACACTTCCGGTAGCATGACGTGCTCGGTGACGACATGTCCGCCTTCCAGGTCTTCAATTACAACATCAACCAGGTGAACATGGCTGCTGCGCATGTGCAGAGGCGACAACAACCGGAGTTATTGCAGCAAGCTATCGCAGAGACACAGATCATGCCTCCACCTGAAGCTATCAATGGGTAAGGGCACTTTCCGAATCTACCCTGCAACCCGATTGGCCAAGTTTAGGTCTTCACTTATGGAAGGCACCCAGGCTATCAAACACCTTTAACTTTTTCTGTTTGCTATAACTTGCCTTAGACATACATACATATGTTTCTTTTCCCTTCTCGATACAGCGTCGCATTTGAATACATTTTAGAGGCACCGAAGTCCCTCCGACAGAAACCAGGAGAAGCAAGCATGAGCTACGTCAACAAAGGTAACCACATTTCAGTATTTCACTGAAACCACATATATGTTGTGAAGTGAGCCCAAGGCAGCAACTTTTGTTTCAACACTGTTATGCCCAACCACACATAGTTACAAATGTCCTTATGTTTCCAGGCCAGTTCTATGCAGTGACGTTAACAGAAGCGGGGAGCAGTCCATGGCGGCACCACAGCACTAAAGTCAGAGTGAGTCCATCTTCACTGAAGTTGCTATGTTCTTACTATATGCTGAAATACATCTAACTCCACGGCATCTCAACTGTAGTATTTCTTACGGTATCAAAGTAAAATTCGACAAAGGAATTTTGTTAGAGTAGTTACGAGAATTCGAAAGTGAGAAACAAACCAACGACCCTTTCTGTCATTTACGTAGTCCGTGATTCAAGTCGTGTTCGGAGACGGTAGAAGTGAGGAAGAGCAGCTGAAACACTGGCGGTACTGGCACGCGCGGCAGCACACCGCCAGGCAGAGGATCATCGATATGGGTAGGTGTTTGTCGGGCAGTCTGAACGGAATTCTTAGCTTTGTGTCAAGAAGTTCCAAATAAAAGTCCATGGCTATTGTGCGCACATTCAAACATACACGGACAAGTAAGATGGTATAAAGTTTTTTTTTCTCATAAGAGTACGGGGAGAGAAAGGAAATGTTTCAAGTGGAACGTCATTTGGTTCTGGACTTTTAAAAAGTGCGTGTTATAGCGAGACTTCTACGACTGCATTCTTTCGCTAAAACGCATCGCCCAGAAAACACAACCCCAATATGAAGGTAATTCTGCTCGTATCGTACTTATTGCCATGTTACGTTTCCAGCTGACTACAAGGAGAGCACTAACGTCATCGAGAACATTGACGAGATCGCTCACAACGCCATCGCCTTCTCCTGGGACGTGCGGGAGACCGGCAAGGTCTTCATCAGCGTCAACTGTCTCAGCACAGACTTCTCCTCACAGAAGGGCATCAAGGTAAGATTCTGCAGCTTTGCACCTGATGGTCACTTATTACGCCTTGACAGAGGCCAGTCACCTCCGACGCAGTATCGGAATTAGTCGTGTCTGTAACTCACAATCCCTTTGCTGTATTGTATGTAGTTTGGCCGCGATGTCGTCTGTTAGTATGCGCGAGATATGCACATTGTTCTTTTTTTACACCGTAGCAGGTTGCATGATCATTCATAACTATGTAACATTAAAACCACGAGGATTGTGTTCTACGGACTCTTGTTTTCCTTTGAATTCCTCTGTCGTCTAATGATTTGCTTTGCTGGTAAGAAGAGCCAAACAAGGATGTAACATTGCTTGACTGCACCGTGAGATTGTGTATCATTTCTCTAACGAGCAACTTTGCTGTTTCAGGGTCTTCCACTCAACCTGCAGATTGACACCTACACAGACTACTACAAGGGAGCTACGCCAGTCCACAGAGCCTACGTGCAAATTAAAGTCTTCTGTGATAAGGTAAGGCAGACTATCGCTATAGATAATTGAATTGTCGTATAGTTACTCTTAATGTGACTGTTTTAGCATAACTGCAAGAATGGTTACTCGTCTAGGAAAGAGAGATACGTTTTGGTGAGGTGTAACACACTCACTAGAAAGTCACTCATCTCTTTCTATTGCACCTGCCCGTAAAGAAAGGATGGAAGTGGGTTGCTTATGTCAGTGCAATTATTGTAAAATGTTATGAATCCTTTGTTTTCCGTAACTTTCTGTTCAGGGCGCAGAAAGGAAGATCCGCGACGAGGTCCGTAAGATCAGTAAGAAGAAGCAGTCCGAGGAGATCAAGAGTCAGATCCCCAGCCACAAGCGGAACGAGCTGGCCTACTTCAAACCCATGGCGGACTTGAAGACCCCTCCTGTCATGTTCGTACCTGACTTCATCCCGGCAGCCAGAGCACCGGCACAGATAGCACAGGTTAGTCGCATCGATTATATGTATTTTGATTGATTAATTCACTTCTCAACCAAAGGTAACGTACAATGTAGTTACGTGTACATTTCAAAATGGAAATTACTCATGATCATCTGTGTAATTTTTCTCTTCTAGCCCGTGACATTTGGCTTGACACCTCCTTTTGACAGAGGAGTGAAGAGATCGTTCTCAGAAGACAGCGCCTACTCACCGGAAAGCTCCCCACAACCTGCTGCCAAAATAGCCAACAAGAGTGGTAAGAACATGTTCAGCATTACCCGAAATATTTGCTTCTTGTTTGACTTAGTAGTTGATATACATGTACGTAAAACCAACGGTATTGGCGAAAATGTTAGAGAGCCTACCCTTTTGTGTACGCAATTTAGGTAACCAAGTTCAGATGCAATAGAGACTAGCTATGATGCTGTTCTCACTGCAAGTGAAGAGAAGAGGAACACCAGTGATGTAAGATTGTTGAAAGATGCCCGTTTTTTCCCCAGTTCTGTTGTACGTGCGGAAGGAGGAGGATGATGTGTATGACGCCCTGATGCTGCGGGAGCCCAGTGTCCAGGGGCTGCTGTCTGCCGTGGAGGAGAAATACAAGGTTCCTACTGACAAAGTCAGCAAGGTCTTCAAGAAGTCAAAGAAAGGGTTAGTGTCTATCTTCTGTACTTTAACTTGTAAATTTTCAGTTGGCGTTAGTAATTCCACACTTAGATTAAAATCTTTCATTTTTTGGTACAAAGATATTACATATTGCCCCTTACTTTTAACTAACAGTTTGTTGTTTTCTTTGCTTCAGTATTCTAGTCAACATTGACGACAACATCATTGAGCACTACTGCAACGAGGACACGTTCATAATCGAACTGCAGGAGGAGACAGACGGGAATGTCAAGGTCATCCTAACAGAGGTGCAGGACTCCCCCTGACGGGCCAGGATGGGCGATGCAACCAAAGAGACTTCTACAAACCATTAACGTGGATTTTGTCAAACATCCAGATGTTTCAAGCCAGGGTATGGGTATTTGGGAGGATTGGACGGACATTGCAAAATGTTTCAAATTTTTAAAACACTTTGCACCAGCTGCCGTCTGCTAATAGTTTTAAGAGACAATCTATGATGGGGATGGTGTGGGGTTTAGCAGCAACCTGCTCTATGGTTCAACAGAAAGGGGAATCCAATATCTTAGATGTGCATATTGCTGCAATAGTGGGTAGGAGAGAGGAAAATGTTGGGAGCAATAAGAGTTTATTTTTGTACAGACAATCATGACGGGGTAGGGTTGGCAATATCTCAACATTGTCAAATATGGATACAAACGTTTCCAACAGTTCTGTAATTTTTGCAGCTACTGTTTCTTTAATTGGTTTTTAACTCTGGCGTATCCATGCTGTTCAATAGAAGTGCCATTCTTGTGACTGCCAGTCTTTTTGACATGCCTATCAGTACGGTCAATATATCCACGTGTTTTTAATGGTTTTATGGAAGATGTGGAAGTGAACATGGGTTAGATTGTCCTGAAATAGATTAAAGACTAGGGTTATAGGAACAATTCTTATGATACAATGATAATGTGATTATCGCGTTGGTATTCAATGGAGACCCTTCAATATTTCCACTGTCAGAAAGACTGCATCTCAACATACATGGTAGCCATTACTACATCGGAATATAGCTTTGAGACCTTCCAGTACTGATGCCATTTGTCTTCCAAAACTCTAGGTTACAGCTGCAGCTCGTCAACCTGATACCGTTGTATGTGTATATATATTTATTCCCTTTTGCTGAAAAGCAGGGCATTGTTTTATGAGGGATTTTAGTGACTATGCGATCTTAATGTATATTTTGGTGACAAGCAGGTTTCTTTGTACATACTGTTACAGTTATCTGTCGGTGAGACTTGCACGGAATAAATCAGATGCCAATATTGCGTTTGTGTTTCCTTTATTCGATACACATGATAACTCTTCGACTCCCCCCAGTCCCTGAAACACCTACAGAACAAGTGACAGTTGGCAACGAAAACATCTAAGTAGTTCCTACCTTCTGCTATACATGACAGCCAGTTAGGGGGTTACGCTGAAACAGCTAAGATTTGGTCAGCTTGGAAATGCTTTCATGAACTCCTCTCCATCCTTACAAACAGGTACATTGTACATACCTCTCAAAAATTGTGGGCATGTCTGCAACTCCTGTATTAGAAGTGTCTGACTTTACACTTCTGAGACATGCGCAGTGAGAACAGAGGACATGAAGAGTGACTAGGAGTGACAATGCCACGGTTCAATGGATATGCTCCAGGAAATTGGCAGATAGTCAACTGAATAGTTTAGACTCAGGCTGGGAGCATCCAAGACATGGTAAGATTTAGCTAATTAAGATGGTATGGTCACCTCCAAAGAATGGGCAGTGAAAAGTGGCCAAGAAAGGCCATCACAGTGGATGTGGAAGGCCAAAACCCACGCGGGTGTCCAGCGAAGAGATGGTTGGACAACATAACATCAGGACAGAGGCAAATGGCAGGCACGAGGTCATGGAAAAACTAGCTTGATGTCTTTAATAAAAAAATCTGATGAGATTCCAAGAAAATAACACATATTTTTTATTATCTGAAAAGTTGTAGATATTCCATGCGTTTCAGTTTGAAGTTTAACAAACATTTCATCAATCTATCAAAATTTACGTCATCAAATGCCTTACATCACTAGAAAGCTGTCATTTCAATATTCTTGACATTAAAGTTGTGGCAAAGCACTAACAAAATAAACCAAAAGCATGTGGTTCCTTTTCTTGGAAATACAGTATATACGAAATATGGTTATACAGGAAAAATACAAAGCTTCTGAATCATGCTTTGTCCTGCCCTAACACAATGGTTAATTCTTTGCCTTGTAACTTGATGCATATAAAATACAGTAAACAAGACAAAGACAAACAAGATGGCCCCGTGTATTATAGTACCTTATTAGAACATATTGCAAGAAAAGATTTCTTTTACATTATAAGAACTGTGACCTAAATCCATTTTACTCTTTCCAGAACAAAATGGTCAGATAGAACACTTGTCTACTCTATACAGCATTGTCAATTTTCACTTTTACTTTAATCCAAGAATGTAAGCATGAATGTCAGTGAACAATTTTGATAACTTGCCTTTGCTTCAATACTGGAACAAAGAAGAAGCTGCACAACGAACATCACAGTTAAATGTAATTAATCAGACCCACATTTGCACTTGTATCAAAATGGCTATACATTAATTTTTCTATCCCATACAAAATTCTGCTCAATAATACTACTGGTACAGTTTTATATACAGAAGTCATGGCCTAATTTTGAAAACAGATTTGTAAGCATATTGTAAAAAAATTTGTAGAAAGTTTACCTTTCTTCAAATCATGCTATTCTATTCAACATATATTCAACTTGTATTACAACTTTTATTACAGTCAATATTCTTTCTTAGTCTAAATTACATTTACCACAGTTCCCAAAGTCACCAGACTACTTATTTTACGAACCATGCAAGCCTGCCCCTCATCAAAACACCTCACCAAACTACATGTATTTCACTAGTACACCTTCCAAAAATAATTTCATCGGGTTGGTAGAACATAGGATATTGGAATGTACTTTCACACAACTAGTGCTTCACTGCTAAAACAATTTCACCTAATTAGACAGGAATTATGAAAATACACATTTTGATCTGAATATAGCAAAAATGTCATATTTACAAGTAAGGCCAGATATCTAAAAATCACTGGAAAATGCTATATGGAGATGCCTGAGGCATCCTTCTTCCAAATTCCATACTGATGTCATTTGGCTAACATAGAAGTAGGTACAAGTGTCAGTAGAAAAACTAACTGTGAGAAGAAAATTCATTATAAAAACGTCATAAATGTATGGATATTGCAACAATCTGCTGTGTGCTGATTAACAACATGTTGGATGACAAATACGGCCCTACAGGTCAACCTAATTCCTTATAACCTGCTTCCATGGCAGGGGGAACATGCTTCAAGCATGCTGGAATGCATGATGTTTATGAGAAGCCAAATTTCATACAATATATAGTAAAGGACAAAACGTTAACATTTAAACATTTGTACTACTAGTAATTACATGGGATCAGTGTTCTGGCCAGCAATCTGAATTTTGCTTGATGTAACATCATTTCCAGAACCAGCATGACAATCCTAGAGGGGTCCTGGTGAAAATTTTGAAACCTTGACCCTCTGAAACCCTATTTCCTGCATGTTGAGGGGCAAAATTTTACATCTCTCTCTGTATCTTTACACAATAGTTTTTGTCTGTCAAAGATGGTGGATTGGGCAAAATTTTTGTCTGTCATGAGCTGCAAAGTTCTGGAAGGAAAGATGGATACTGGCTAGAACACCAGACAGGATCCTTTTGTCATCACTATCTGCTACTGGACTCTAAGCATTAACCAATCAAAATCATTGCCACATTTGAGATTACCACTGTGGGGGTGGGGTGGGGGGGCAGTTCAATGTGCACATGTTTGTTGTACTAACAATACTGGAAGGGTTCATTGCCCGACAAGGCGGTAAATCTACTAGACTTGCTGCTGTACTATGGCCAGCAACACTTTGTTACGTTGTCCCATTGGTAACTGTGTTGTAACACTCTGTGCAGTAAGGCAGAGCATTGAATTCAAAGATGTGATCATCTTTTGTTGGAGCTTTGTGACATCTCTGTAAAGAAGCACAAATTGTATACATGTGAGTAATATTTCCAACAAAAGTTACTTCCAAAGGATCTGTTACATGTACATCCATTAATGGGGGTAATTCATTGCACAGGATAGACAAAACTTAGAAATGTAATAAATCCCAGTTGTGGGCTGCAGCCTTACCTGACACACAAAGCAGTCAGGGTGCCAGGTACTCTCTATGGCCTCTATAAAGCCCCCAGTGATGGGGTCGTTACACGCTCGACAGCGAGGCGCATTGTACTGGAAGAAATCCTCCTCACAATACGGCTGGAATAAAATATTAGGTTAGAATCACAGAGCACACACACAATTCTACCTGCAACAATTGCAGTTCTAAGGCTGATTATTCTAAACCAGTAAGTTATTTTCTACAGCAAAACATAATGCTTTATGTAAATTGAAGATGACAAAATAAGAAGGTGCTTGAAGTTCTCACCTTTTGATCCTTGACTATGTATGTTCCATTCAGCACCTTCTTACACTGCCAGCACCTGAAGTGGTCAGTGTGCCAGTTACTGCCCAGTGCCTGCAACATTCACAACAACAAGTGCATGGGAATTTGTCAGAAGCACAGTTTGCTAGTTTTGAGGCCTCTCCCTGGCCTCCTTCAATTGTTGTACTGTAATATTTACTGTAATTCCTGAGTTTTTAGCAACACTTTTAAGTTCACATTTTTTCGGCCATTTCTGTATTATGAACTTATCAGTACCATTAACAAATAATTTGCCGACTTTCTTTTTTCTGCACCTGCCACCACCATGAACATGTTTTGTGAACACCTCCATTTTTCTCAGACTGTGAACTGGTTTATTGACTAGATGACTGGTTTATTAACTTTGACCTTCAAAGAGATTCACAGAAACCCCTCTGGGGTTCTGAATTGCACTTTTACTGCACTGGCAGAGTTAATGACAACAGTGACTGGTGTGCTGACCTTGACATAACCTTCCTTGGGTTTGATGAGTTTGTTACACTCGGCGCAGATGATCCCAAACCACCTGGCTCGCTCCTCCAAGGCTTGAGGCAACACCTGCGGGAGGCAATACCATTATTATGGATAATTTTGCTACAAATTTACGATTTTATTCCTATGTTAATTAAAACAAAGTTCTAAACTTTTGAAAAGCCTTACCTCTGTGAGTGATGTCAAGTTATCAAAACCCTCCAGTTTGAAGCTGCCGACTTCCCTGTGGACATACGGGGCAATCTGGTCCTTAGGTAGATCCTGCCACAATGACTCATTGATCAGAATCTGGAAACAAGATGTGAGAAACATCTGATTCAGATATAAATCAAATCTCTCTCCTATAACTCATTCGTTCAAAAAATTCACATTGGATACATAATAAATAAGCAGTGGCAAAAATAATTTGTTTTAGCTCAAGGGTTAAGCTACCTTAACTCTCATTCGAGTGAAGACACTTTCTGTCAATTAATTATCCCAATCAGAGAGAACCATTTCTGTCAGGTCAAGGGTCTAGTCAGGCACCAGACCAGCCAACCTAAACTCTCCTCTCTGGTGCAATGGGCCAGAATGTGTTGGCTGCAGAAAGAATGCCTAGACTAAGGCTTCCCAAGGTGGCATTCAACTGGTGTCCAACAGGGAACAGGAAAAGCAGGGCAATGACCTGGAAGAGGAGGGTCAAGAAGGACATTGCAGAAATTGGTTGCAGATGAGAGGGGGCATTACGGACAGCAACAGACAAGACTGCTGAAGACATTGAGGGCCTGCCTTGGTGCCAAGCGCTGAAGTGCGGTGAAGATAATGATGATTTCTATGTGGTGTATAGTACACTACCATGTGCAAGATAGAGCACCAAGCCTTACCTGTCCTCCCTGAGCCAGCCTACAGATGCCCTGAGTCCGGTACACCTCCGTCCCTCGGTAGCCCATGTGTCCACTGGCATAGTGGTACACACTGTCTACTCTCCCCCTGGATGGACACACCAAAAACAATGCAATTGATACCAGCAAGGCAATACAAATACTCTTCATTTCAACAGTTTTCAACATATTATATATGATACCCAACACAGGATGAGACCAAACTTACTTGCTAACTCCCATCTGTAATCGTGGACCACAGAAGATGAGCCGTGGGATGTCATAACCATTCTCACGTGACTTGAAGACACGAATACAGTCGTCACAGGATAACAACTCCTCCTCCCACTTGGTGTCTGTCATGGCTAGCTGTACAGTCAAGGACCTGGGTGAAAAATCCTCAAGATGAGCGATAACATTACAAGAGTACCTCACACGACCTCATACCTTTGCAAGAGGATCAGGATTGTTACGAAAAAAATCATTTAGAAGTGGTTATGTTATAGTCCACACAGCATTTCTCATAATGCTCTTGCTGGTCTTGTAACATGTAGCATTATCCTTATAGATAATGACATGACAGATTACTGACCAGTTGACAGCATCCAGAGGCTGCTGGAAAGCAATCAGGAAGGACTCTTCCTCCGCCTCGACCTCATAACCACGGAAGTCTCGCGTTGCCCGCCGTACAATATCACTGTATCTATTCATAGCCCTACAGAAAAAGAAAGTACATGATCATGAATAATGAGAATGCTACTGAAGTTTTTCAAGTGCTTCACATCTGGTATCTGTCCCAACTACAGAGAGCAACCCTTGGAGCAGGCTGGCACCAAAAAAGTATGTACATCATGCTGTATCTGCACTCCACCAAAGCCAGGCACATATTCAGGACCTTCCCACAAACTTGCACCCAATCACTGCTCAACTAAGGTCCAAATGCTTTTGGAACTTATACTCACAGCTCAGACAGCTGACTTCTTCCAGATAGACTCCCAACCAATTGCCAACTCTCTCACGAATTGAAATGGATATACAATGTACATGTCACGAAATGATTTTTTAAAGAGAGGTTCATTTCATTTGTAATCAAAATGATCCATACTTCTATGAACATCATTAAGAGATCAAATTGGGGTAAAAATTAGGTACAATACAGCTTCTACTGTTTACCTGTGTGGTTGCAAGCTTGTTTTGTCATGTGTGACAGGGGATTAAGCTATGGCTAAGAATCACAGAATCAAGGTAAGAAGTTGATGGGGCCTTATTCACTACTAACACACCAGGACTGCTGCTTACCTTATGACTGTATCTGCAGAGTTGTTCTCCCATATTGTCGCCACATTTTTCACCTGCACAGCAACAAACGTCACCACACCATGAGGTGGAGAAATCTGCAGGGAGACAAAAAGGAAGACATGTTACTTTCATGGCCTCATAAAAATTTATCTGTAGGTTCACTAATCAGTTCAGACCCATGACCTATATATGGTCATAGGGATGCTACAACAGCCAGTCTGTCAATGTAGTGTATCAGTAGATCAGCTTATATTTCAATAATATTCTGGTTCCAACCTAAGTGAAATGAGGAATTTCGTGACGGTGTGCACTACCCTATTTCACTGTTTGTCTTATCTGTGCATAGACAGGAAGTGGGGTTCTCTTCAGAACTTGTGAAGAAGAGAAGGTCATTTTCAAGGGCACAACATTGAGGCATGTCAGTTGATTGCCATGTGCCACTTACATCTACATAAGTCTCTGCAAGTTATCTGACTTGCACCAATTTTGAGATTAATCACTGTATCTGTATGTAGTACATTGTAGTATGGGTAGTAAAACTCCTTTTCTATTGGTACGTAAATGACCTGTCATTGTCAAGGGTGAGCTGCCTTAGCAGTGTACAAAGGTACTGTTCAATATTAAACAGGAGGAGGGAAGACCAAATAATTTTTTTTCGCCTAGAGGGTGACTACAGTTAATTGAGGGGAATACTTGTCAATGGGCATCCCGCAGCTGAAGTACAAAAACAGCCAGTGCAGTAACAAATCTTTTGATTATTTCAATGGCCAGTATGTAGTATGTGGCAAGAAAACAAGTACTTAGACTTAACCTGGGCAGTCTTGCCTGCTGTTAGATGGGACTTGTGTTGGGTACTAATGCCCTGAGACTACATTTTACATCCTGACTGAATACTTCCCTTGTTGTCCCAAGAGGATCCTGTAGATAATCATGATCAGAGCTGTAGGAACTGTCAGGTCCCTGTGGGAGGCTACTGTGTTACTCACTTCAACACTCAGTCTGATGCTATCAACAAACCAGTCTTGTATCCTTGTATAATGGTTCAGACCCATGGCAATAATCTATTCTCTTTTACTGATATCTGATAAGGCATATCTGCACAATTGTACATGTATGACAATACATCTCAAAGTTGTATATAACATCAAAAAATTTTATGATGATAAAACATTGCAGGCTTACTTATTGACAGGGCTTCAAGATTATAAACAGGGCTCGAAATACTGGGTGCATATGCAGGCTGTGCAGGTACAAAATGTATTTCTAATGTCTATAATTCTGCACCTAACCTGCACTGGTCCATGTACTAGGTTTATATAGACATGTAGGTGTATGTGTATTTTATTTGATACATTGACTGTTACAACTTATGAAGTAAAAAAGAAAAAAATGGCAATGATTTTGATAGTTCTGATAGTATGGTCCATACTTCTCAAAGTCTGATGCAGGTAATTTTCAGTTACCAGCACCAGTCCAGGTGTGCAGAAAAAAGTATTTTGAGTCTTGTATATCAAACTTTAAAGATTAAGATTGGTAAGGGTTTTTTTCCTACTGAACCTACATCACATCTCCAAAATACCAAAATATCAAGACCCTTGTATGTTCAGTTCTGCTGCAGTACCATGGACAGCTGCCAGGAGATCAATAATTGACCTTGACTTTTGCCTTCCCAAGACCTACTCTGATGATGATGAAGACATACAGGCTTGAACACAAAGCACTAACTGCCATGCTAAAAGGTCCAAATGTTAGACTGGCCAGTTGGTGGGGTTTGAACCCAACTGTTACACGATGGCCTACATGTAGCCCAAGTGAAACCCCAGCTGACCACCCAGTCTCCAGCATCAAACACTGTGGAAACAGATCCTCACATCTACCTCCGCACTAATGGTTCCAACAAATGTTTGAAATGGAGCATGCACCAGCAGGACAGCTAAGGTTACCTCACAGGGCTTCACCCATTGGGGCATGATAATAAGCTTACAGATGGGTCACAGCCTGGTCTTTTACATTAAGAACTGAGATAAATGTTTAAAAAAAAGATCTGCTTGTGAAAGTGGTAACTATTTTCTGTTTCAAAATATTGCATGTCCCTATAATCACCAGTCTGGAGCTTGTTTTGTCCTTTCTGATCTATGAATTATTCATCATCTCAGCCTCACTGTGACACCTGACATGTTACCACCTCAATCAGTACAACGCATCATCTTTCAATAATTCAATCATCGAAAAGGATACTGTTCATTGGAGTTGTTTACATCATATTTTTTCAAGCAGATGTCATAAAACAAAGCCAAATCTTACAGTGGGAAAACAAAGCATTACTATCTGGTTGATAGGATTTTGTTGGCAAAATCATTCTAAAAGTGACCTACCGGTAGTGCAGTTAAGTTATGCTAATCAACAGTAAATATCGCATTACCAGCACTATAAGATTTATCACTGTTTGGAACAGTGCCCAGAAACCTTAAGAAATCCTGCACAAGCTCGACTCCTGTCCGATCAGGAATAACATCTTTAAACCTTGTGAGGACAACTGAGGCCTTATTGGTACATAACAAAGATGCTACTGGCCTACTTGATTGAACGTTATATATACAAAGTAGATAACATCAAAGGGATCATGTGGATAGATATACTCAAGACATGTACAACATGTAACAGAGAACTCTGAGACATTAGCATTATCAGTATACATCACACAGTGTCAGTACAATTTAACACCCAAAGTAAATAAATTAGAGATACCAAAAACTGAGAAATATATTCTACTTTTTGAATGTTGTGCCCACAGTCTATAACATAATTAAGTTACAGTTTTGATGAGGTACCCTACCACATAATTCAGTCTTTCCTCCTCCACAAAAACAGAGTCCAGCCCGTCCTCTAGTCCATTTACACTGCCGGCAGTGGCCATGTTGAGGTAGACTTCTCCCGTGTAAGTAGTGCAAGCCTCTCCCAGGGCACAAAGAGGCCCAGTGTTTGTTGTTGGTTTGGGTTCAGCAGCCTCACAGTTTGAGGTGATGTAATTTCAGCTGATCCCAGCTGATCAGTCCATTCCAGGACTTTCTCCCAGCAGGAGGGATGCACCCATGAACACTGTCTGAACTTCCAGAAATATGTGGAGCATCAAGAGAAGTTGTTTTTCTCTCCACACAGCACCGAGCAGGGCTTGGAATCATAAGTGATTCTGGTGACTGCTGCCCCTTCCTCAGGGTTTGCCCATATACAGTAGGAAATGTCTTCAAGTGAAGAAAATCTCATTAAATAGCTAGTAAACCCCCAGTGGTGCCTCGGGTGCATTCTGGTTTGTCCAGTGGATTTCCTGTGGTTGCATGGTTAGGGCTCACATGGGGGTTTCAGGTGTGCCTGATTGAATTGTACATTTCAAACTGTATCTGACATCTGTCTCTATTAAACCACAGGCTTTTTTTCACATGGAAATAAATCAACACTTCTGCAAAAGATAGCTATTATCATTAAGATATACTTCTTTTTCATAACGCAAATAATTTCATTAAAAAGACATAATGTAGAAGTTCTACATTGTAGAACACAGTTGCAGAACTACTAGTATACAGTTGTATCCTATTTCCATCCTGATCAGAGTTGTTTCTATAGTACTCCATGTGCACTCCCCACAGTAACTGAAGCATGCAGTTGGCTTTCAGGTGAATCTGCCCGAATCTGGATTCGCCAGACTGACCTCCAGGAGTGGGTCACAGAAAAGCAAACACAGGGGTGCAGACAGCCTTGTCATAATATCCTTAAAAGGGGACAGCAGTCCGGCTCTGTCTTCTCAAGCACAATGAAGACAGATTTAATTCCTGCTGAAGCTCTCTTTCTTCAAAACCTGAGATTTTTTGTCTTCATTCTATATCTGAGTCCCCCATTTATCATAAAATGGAATGTACATTTATATAGGGGAATTGCTTCTATTCAAAGGTAATAATCTAGTGTTTTTGTTCATGAGGAAAGTCCACAGTTAACGTATGCTTTTTGTCAAGGCTCTAAAAGTATTTCAAAAGAATGTTGTCTTCAATGTTGTGCGATATTAGGGCAGACGTGCTGTTGTTGTTATTGTCCCCTGCTTGGCTTACTGACTTCCGCTACCCTGTCACTCAACCCCCAGGCTATGCCTGCCACAGTCAGAACTGTTAGACTAAAACATCCTCCAGATTTCTTGCCAGGTCTTTTACGTACTTACAGTAGTACTTCTTAGCATCATACCTAGAATACCTTAATTGCCATTTCTTACATACCGGTATCATGACAATATTCTTAGCCTAGAAATATGTCAACTTGAAGAATGTAAAACATTTCTGAGAAAACATTTTCTTTCATCACGGGGCACCACCTGTTCACTGGAGTGTATATTTAAATATATGTAGAGTGATTTAGATTCCAGCCATGTTTTACACCTTGGGAACTGCTTATGGACTGTTTCATTTACAAACAAGAATTCGTAGATCTCAGACCTCCATGAAATCTTTAGAAACTTATGGATTTGCCTCATTAATCATGGAAAGGTTATAATGAGCATTAGATTGCGATCTTAATTGCTGTTACATGTTCTTGGGACCTACAGCCTCTTCAAAATTGTCCTCAATATCACAAAACGTCTAAAGTTCACTAACACCCGAAGTCCCCAATGTCTTCCTTCACACCTGAGTTGAACATTGCTGAAAGAGGACTAATTTCAATCCGACTGATTTTCCCCATAACCTCCTTGCTGAACAAGGGGACGACAGTGGAGCAGACCAATGATGATGATGATGATTTATGACTGAGAAATGAGATTGACGCCACTTGAAATTGCCATCAGCTGTTGCAGGACATGCACTATGACCCTTGCACCTTCACCCTAAGTGAAGTTACACAAAAGTCGCAACATTTTTGGGCTGCCAATATCCATGAATAGCTTCTTGAGTTATTGTGCTAAACCTCATCCAAACAAAAATGCAAACGCTGCTACATAACCAATCAAGGCAAAGGTAATAACAAGCCATCATAGAGTAGCTGTTAAGTCATACATATATGATATATGTATAGACCAAAGATATATACATGTAACTTATATATAAAGATACAAACAAAAAATAACTTTCTATGGGAAGGTAATAAAACTCCCCTTTGAAATCAAAGTTTGCATCAGAGATACCAGATGTACAGTCATGTACAATGTATATAGTGCAGCTGGTATTTGGCAACATTTTCCTGGCCACCTTATTCCTCTGCCAATCTCCCCCTATTTACCCAACATTTCCAGCCTCTAGTCAAGCTGCATCACATCTGGAGGAGTCAAACAGTACTAGTGGTGTACAGACTTTACCACAGCTGGGCCTCTACAAAACATACCCATGTTTCTTGTATGTATAACTAACACTTCAATTCTATTTTCTATTTTTCATATCAACATCAGATGTAAAAGTATGATAAATATAGAACATGACATGGTGCATTCCGCATCACCCGAGGTTCCAGCCCGACCCGTGGAAGGGTTGGGACCAAGGGTGATGCGGAATACACTGTGTTGTATCCTATTTATCTCATTCTCATCCTAGAAAAAAACATTTCAATGTGCCAGAAATTGAGCAAATTGTCACTAAAATGTAACAACATCAGACTTAATTCAAAAGTGGTGCACCCAGCACTTGCAAAACTCGTCCGGATTGTTCTTCTATGGAATAACTGGCAACCACATAGAACCCTGTTAGATACTGCTAGTTATCACACTGGCTGGAACACTCAACCAGCATGTTGAATGCTATCATGGCCCAGGTATGACATAAAAGTGGGTAGTGTGTACTTTTGCTGTCTTCTGGTAATTGGTTTCAGCAGTGGACTTGTTTTCAACACCAGTAACAATCTGTTCCTAATCCGGTTTACCCAGGGTATGCCTTTGAAGCTGAACTTGCTGATGCTGAAGGCTTGAAATAAGATAATGAGTGGGACATAGCAGCAGATTAACGTAAACTGCTTCAGTTTATCAACACCTGATCTACACATTATACTTTTCTGTCTGTGGAAATAGACATACACGTCATGTATAAAACTAAGGTTCCCTGTAGACTGGGAATGGTTATATCATAAGAGGGTTTAGATTTTTTCTGATTGTTTTTTTATGAGCTGTATTAAAGTCCAGCAAGATATATATATACTGCTTTTGCACTTGTTACATAAATAACTGGCCATTTGTAACCTGGTCAAGGTACATTGTATGTATATTTGCATACATGCTTGATTTATCCATCACACTCTAAAATCAATGTAAACAGAGAAAGATCTGAAAGAAGGCTCCTTGCAGTCTCATACTGTCTACATGTATTGAAAGGCAAAATTTTATACTGCATTACATATTAACCTTAGTTTGTTTATACAGGTGAAAAGAACTTATCATATCACAGGAAATTAGCAAATACAGGTACATAAAATGACCTAGACTGCAGTACTGTCCTGACATGTGATAGGGACACATTCTTTTTATCTTCATCATCATTACTCCCATACCCATCAGGGATAATGTACCAGTAGGGGACTGACTCAAGTGGCAGGATGTGCCACTGAGTGTCTGTATGTGTCTGTACATGCGTTGATGGAATGGTATCTAAACTGGTGGCTCCCCCGGGTGCACCCATGGGCTAGTCAGTTTACATATTGATATGATTCTGCATTAACTTACAAAAGGTGGAGACAGGCATAACATTTGCTAGTAACTTATTTACAGAGAGAAGGGCTCAGGAGTTTTGAAGTCACTTCACACTTGCATGGAAGTTTATTGTCAAATACAAGTACTCTGACAAAATACCTTGAGGCAAAAAGCATGGAATTGTTTTATCATTGGGCAAGGACTTTCTTCCTTATATTGTCCAAGGTAGAATTTATTTTCTTTGAAGTAACTTCCATGGGTCAGAAATCCTGGCCAGATCTGGCCCTCCCACATCACCTCAGTCTGGAACACATTGTCTCCATTACTGTATTATGCACTTAATTTTGCAGAGGTTATATTTCATGGTAGGATATGAGGGAAAATTATGTTTTCACTGAGTGATTGAAACTAACACTAGTTTAGTAGCCTTACAATTGTAATTGGTGTCATGACTCATGAATATATATGATGGTTAGAGAGAGGAAACTGCAAAGAGTGTGAAAATAAAACCACAGCAAGACTTTGTGTATTTACAGTGTCTGACTTACCTTGAAGTAGCCATGGTTGTAGATGTCTCTGTTCTGCTGGAGGTCCTTCTGTAGTCTCTGGCGGGCAGTCTGGATCTCCCTTTCCTTCTCCTTCTCCTCAAGTTTAGCCCAGAAGTCTCGGTCCTGGCGGAGCTTGGAGGCGCTGTGAGCCTTGGGGATGACGAGCGGCCCGTTCAGCATCCTGACGTCTGGTTCAGAGTTGCCGTGTGGATGTATTTGGTCGGAGAGGGAGGACATGGTGGTTGGGAGGTGCGTGTGTGCTGGTAGACTGGGGCAGGGTTGTGCATACTGCAGCTGGCTGACTCCCTCTCTCTCCACTGCCGGCTAGCTCAGGCTGGATTGATTAGGAAGGGCACAGTAGGGGTGACCCTATTGAGTTACAGGTTCAGGCCACTGTAATTGTTGATGTGGCAAAAACAAGTCAATGTACTGCTTCATGGAAATTTCAAATAATCCAGAAAAAATCACGGATGGGTTCTTATACTGCATTAAAGGCATACATAGCAATAATGGTTAACAGGATTAAAATAACATTCAGAATGACTTGTGAAAACTTGAAAAGAAGTTGAATCCTTTGTGGTATGTCAGAGAGGACAAGATCTTCTGGAGGTTTTGGGCTCTGCTGGAATTTGTTACACTGTAACTCAGCTCATGACTGTCCTCAGATGAAGGTCATTTTCAATAGACCTTCCCTAATTGGCATCTCGGTCAAGGTCTTTCACCACATAACACTGCTACAAAAAATAAATTTACAAAAGACACATTTGCATGAAATGAGTAAACATGCAGGCGAAATACCAGGCACTTTAAACAAGTCAGCTGTTTAGACAACCTGCTTTTATATGGACTTCCTTCTTCAAATAAGTCTGCCAGTACAAATGCCTGCTCGTAATCACATTGACCACTAGAAAAAGTGAAACAGTCGTTGAGCAAACTCACCCATTTTCCCTTGCGTCCCTCCTGGCTGTGTTTAGGGTACCAGTCCCTCTTATCGAACGTTTCCCTGCCAGACAGAAGAAAAGGTGTCAAAATATTTGTTCAAGGCCACTCTTATCAGTAAGTACAGCATTGATATATCACAGGTAAAGTACACACAACAATAACGACAAATACTAAAGGTTACACTACCCCAAACGCGATGATGTCATCAGCCGTTTCTAGGAAACGTTGGATTATAGACATCTAACTTATATAAACAAATCTTGAATGTTCATATAGTAAAATAATTAAATTTTAGGCTAAGTGTTTCTACCCTGAAGGCTGAATCTGGCCATATTTACAGCTGCACATTGAATGTTGATGTAACAGTGGCCTTCAAGCGCCACTAACTGACCCAGTCCAACTGGTCCGGACCTTTTGGCCTAGTGGCTAGCATGTTGGGTTTGTGAATTGATGGCCCGGGTTAGGTTCTCGGGAGTCAGCAGAATACTTCATGTTGGCCCAAAAGATTTGTGAGCTGGTGGCCTGGGTTTCATTCCCAGGAGCCAAGGCACTTCGTGTTGGCCACTGGGAATAGTATACCTATGATTCAAAAACCCTTCGAAATGCTTAGCCACAGCAAGGACATTATACACAGATGTCCTTGGCCACAGTAACGGTTTGTCTTTAGGCATAGGAGTGGAATTGTGTGTAATTTGTGGGTCAAAATGACGAGAGAACAACATTTTATTTTGTCTTACACTAGTTCATGTTTTTAAACTGTTTGCTGCCACATTTTTCTGCATTGAGACATTGAGTGCTCTCCTAACGAAGGAGAGTGAGGCTCGAATTCACTAGCCTTTTTGGCGACTCCCTTTTAAGGTTAAGGGAGTCACAGGATTCAGTAGAAAAGGGAAATTCATCTAGATTTAACCTTGGTATTACTCACTGAAGTAAAAAATGACACAAGCATAACATAAGTTACAAGCATTAGGGCAAGGTTAAAGGGTCTTGATCTAATGTTCTATTCTGTACATTGGAGGGTTAGAATACTTCATATTCTGGTGCAGTTTGCCTAGGAACAACCTCTTAGCATAATAAGAGAGTACTCCGCTGACTGACATATGTGAATGCAATGTTAGGACAGCACAAGAGGCTATTCAGGTCCACTAGAAAACACCACTGAAGTGGTAACCTCATACCTTGCAGTTGCCGGTGTGTCAACTCTATAATATAGTTGTGCCCAAAACCCAGGTCCTGGAGTGCACCATTACGTCGTAGTTAGGAAAAATGTTTTGAACCAACAAAACCACAGATTGGAATCTCGGGGGACCAAAGAGAAGCTTCTTTATTATCCATTCAGTTAGCATGAATGACATCAAAGAAGCACACAATGATTGGTTCCCAAGTAATATACAAACTTGAATACTTGGTAATTATTTTCCAATTCCCCACTTTTTCGTCAATTGATGTGTTGATGGGGTCTGCAACAAACTACTGCAGCTTTCCTCACAGCTGGCACATACACATGATACAGTTCAACTCAGGAGTCAACCATATGTGTAATAAATATCAAGCAATTGAACATGTTTTCCTGGTAAAATATCTTTTTGTTTCTATAACTCTAACAACTGAATTTCAGGGAGTTCAATGACTCTTAATTGAGTTGCAGGAATGTGAATGAAAGCTATACACAGTGCTACAGGTAACCCATCAGTTCCTCTTATTAGGTTATCATCGAAGAGGCAGGGAGAATGCACCCCTTTGTTGCAAGCTACTGATTAAATTGTCTGGTCTCACTGGGTCCTACTAACATGCTTTAACGTATGTACCAATGACACTGAATATAACAGTTGCTGACAATATCAAGAATGTTTTTACATTTTGTACCTTTGTACCAAATATACACCCTTCTAATCAGGATGTTATGGAACATCAAACCTTATGGAAGGTATTGCCAATGATGTCACAGTGAACATGGCAGCCGCTTCAGAGCTGGCACCCTGGCTTGTGAAAAAAAGTCTAGTTTTGAGAAGCAAACAATTTACCAGTACATTTCATTGCAAGTTATTGATAGTTGCTTAGTTGCTTCTGACAGCACGTTTTTCACAATATGTGGTGCAGGGTTCTGAACCAGCTGCCATGGTCACTGAGACATGGCAGAACTTAAATCATTTCTACCTCCATGCTTAAATAGATCAACTTTTAGTAGAAATCAAGAATCGACCTGAGCTGGGAGTACATCAATGATTTTATGGTTCAATAGCCATTACCATCAGAAAGGGTAAATTTTGTGTAAATGGTTTATGTTAATTGAATGATAGTATCATTGTTTTCAATGATAATGAAATGTTGTAGGATGGTGCCATAAACACTTTAAACACATTAAACCTCCTTGCTTCAATAGCCTGTTTAGTAGATGTTCACAACGTTTATCAAACAGTAGAACAAAACAAGACCCCATGCAGTTCTAGCAGCAACATAACAACCTACCTTGACTGACCAGAAAACAGATCTAGAACATGTACTTTCTTTTGAGAGAAAATACATGTAGGAGATTTTTTTTATTGAAATTCAAACAATTAAGCGCATATAACCTCTGCTAAACCAGTAGATACATATTCATCATTTGTCTGTTTGAAGACAATTGCAAGTTGAACAACCAGTTAGTACAGAAGCTGTTGCCATGATACCATGGTGATTTGATTGTTAACAAAGTATTAACAACTTATAAATAATATTTTTTACTTTTGTCACCTGTGATTGACATTTAACGTTATAGTATGCTACACTGACAGGTCACATTGCAGCTGATGTGGATACATGAAATTAAATAGGTGTTCCTATTTGTTTTGAGCCAGCAATATAAAACTAAAAGGAGGCATGGCAGAAACACTACTTGTACATGTACTATGCATTTGTCTATTGTTTCTTGTTGTCTTAATTGGGGGAGACATAATCTCAATGAAACACACATGCATAAAGAGTTGGAAATGCTGCAACTGACTGTCATTCATTCAACAGTAATTAATGGGTTAATAATTGGGATTATCACAAGGGTTGAATTAATAATAGGTCAAAGAAAATGCTTTAAATACTAGTACTCTGACTCCTTTCATCAAACTGCATCTGGTGACCATGAAAACACTTATTCCTAGTGAATCCACACTTTTCAGTTCTTGTTGGGAAGACATATAGGATGATTCCAACCAAGCATCTTTGCTTGTAGATCATCAATAATCATGACAATATGTTACATAAACTTTAAATAAAGGTCGATGCCAATTTACTTGTCAAACAAACTTGCTTCTAGATAATGTGATCAATTTCTTAGTGAGTTGGTTGTCAAACAAGTACAGCTCTGACTTCCCCATGTGGCAAATTCATCTTTATCACCGTCACAATTTGACCTTCCTGGCACGACCCTGGGCCATGATGTATGGACCATCGATCATAATATTTAACCCCTGCCCACAAAATTATAATAAATCATATTTCACGCTGGCAAGAGTCTTTCCCCTAAGTATTTGTCACCGTTAGAGGGAATAAATATACACAAAGTGGATTCTTTGTGTTTTTTACACCCAACATTATCATAGTACGAGACCGATTGCTTTTATAACGTTTTTAACCTCCTTGGTTTCACATACAGATAAATAGAAATATTAAAAGAATCTCTTACCATAATAACCCTGACCGTCGACTCCTCTCAATGTCAATGTCCCTAAAATCTAAAACCCAAAGTGTCACAGGGTTTTGTGTCACTACTAGTATGGGACTCAGGTACTGATGTTTTCTGGCTCTAATCCTGTTCACGTTTGTTGTCTGCTGTGAAATGTGGTGCTTTTGTCTTTGGCGCAGTTCCGGGTCTCGCGATGCGCGAGATTGTCAAATCTCGTCAAACACGAGATCAGAAAATAGAGTCTACCACTATATTAGGGGGGACTACAAATATTAGTGGCGCATAATAAAGAAGGATGATAATCAATAAATGATCGATAATTTTCAAAACCTATCTCCAAATCTATATAGGTCTAAATTTGAATACTAAAGTACGTTTTTGCCGAGTTGTTGATTCATAAACTTTCAAAGCAAAGTACGTAGATATTACCTCCCCTGTATATGGCAGTTGGATTATTCTAAATCCAGCATGGCGGTCGGAGTAGAAGAAGAAGTGAAGTCATTGGCGAATTTCCTCGGTTCGCCTGCCTATAAAGTCACCACACAAGGAGAGATCAAGGTGGGGAACGCATAATGTCTTCAGGTGGCCGTGGAACTATTTTCCTAGGTTATTAAGAAGCATGATTTGCATAGAAATGAGGGGACTTAATGAAATGATGACTCCAACTGTCCAAGCTGTGATATCTGTATCATATAAATTTGCTGCTTCAGCAACAATAAATTACATGCACGGTGCTTCAATCATGGGTAAGCGGGAATTTAACTTTTCTTCTTCCTCACTGATATCCCCATTACTCGGTTTATTATCGCATGTGATCCAGAACATATAAACATAGGGAAAGAAAAGGATATGGAAGAGAACATATTATGTGTGTGCAAAGGCCAAGGACAAGACAATCTTTTACCTATATACAAGGACATGTTGGGGTGACTCCAGAGTTCAATGCAGCAGAGTTCTTGCCAGTTCAGATTTGAACTGACCCCGCCTCCACCTCACCAGGCTCAAGTTCATGCTATTCCCTGATGGTGCAGGGAAAGAACAAGAGCCATGTACAAAATGTAGAAGCTGTATTTTCATTTCTTCTCATTTCGTAGGTACCACAACTGCACACCGGTAATGGCAAAACACTGACAGGACTGGCGACGATATCCAAGTTTCTAGCCAGGTCCTCTCCATCAGGTGGAGCAAAGCTTCTTGGGACAACTCCTGAAGACCAGGCAGAGATCGCTCAGTGGTTAGAATACAGAGTTACGATAGTGGACAGGAGTGTGGAGAAAAAAGATGCCCAAGCCATGCTTAAGGTAAGATTATCTATAGAAAATATTAGTACCATGTAAAAGAGCGCAGTACTTCCATGTCTACTCAGTTGTGCTATGGATGCCGTAGCAGATGCATGGAAAGTCCATGGTCACACTGCTATATTACTATTATATACAGATATACTAGTGATGTTCGTCCATCGTAGTCGATGATGACCCCAACTTCATCAAGATATACTAAATTACTAAGATATACTAGTAGAATACTAGTATCCTACACTACAACTTAGTACAAGGGATTATCTTATGGCGGCATCATCATAATCAGTTATAAACTTACGACCTACCCTACTGCTGTACGTACACGCTATAAACTATGTGTACATGTAGTAAGCTTTACTGTATGTAAGTTACATTCCGTTTAAAGATTGCAGAGTAGCACCTCTTTAAAACTAACAAACCTCAGTCTATTGTGTGTTCGGTGTTTGATGTACCGGTCTATGTTTGTATCTTGTGCAGGAGCTGAACTCTTACCTGTTAGACAAGGTGTATTTTCTGGGGTTCCACTTCTCTCTAGCTGACCTCATCATGTACCATGGACTGCACCCTGTTATGGTGAGCTTAGATATATGAGATTATGACTCAAATCTACAAGTTAAGCTTAGTTTTTCTTTCCATGCTGCATGACCAAAGAGGTGTTTGTGTATATCACTGGAGAAAGAACATGCCCATCTTTGAAGGTCAGAAAAAATACATTTAGTCTAGTAAGAAAAAAGGGGAAAAGAAATGAAAATGTTGGCCTTTATATATGAGATATACCGTAGTTGTAGTTGAGAAGTATAATTTATTGCTAATGCATAACTTGCATCTCGGAACAGCCCACAGGTGGCTTTTTTCCCCATCAATAATGTTTAAAGTCATGTGGCCATTTGAAAGCTTTGATGTATTCAAAATCAAAAGTACTAGCATTTTGAAAATCATATATCATGTTTATTTGTTCTTTACATGTTGTACTTGTTGGTTTGATGTCCAGTGCCGGCTAAGTTTCTTTGAGAAGCAGCAGTACCAGAATGTGTCCAGGTGGTTTGACCAGGTGCAACATTATCCAGGTACAGAAATATTCCCTTTGCAATATATTCACATGGCCTTGCTGTTTTGCAAGAGGTGCATGTGTGTATGTGTATCAAACTGAACTGGCCTATTTTAGGTTGTTTGCTTGACCTATATGTATGACTATTGTCTTATTTTTGATATACGTGTGAGGATAATGAAAGTTTGATGATTGTGTTCCCACCAGGTACATGTAGTATTTTCAGATTTTGATATAAAACCAGTATTTTTCTGAAACTGTACCTGTTGTGTTATTAATTCAATAAGCACTTATGTATCTGAACAAAAGTTGCTGTCTGTACTACATGTATTTATAAATGAGAATAGCAAACTCATGCCGTGTGTATGAGGAGGTTTCTGAATTAGGACAGTGTATATTCTGGAAGTGATGTCTTACAATGTTCTCACCGTCTATAGGTGTGCAGCAGCACCTACCTCAACTAGTGTTCCTGAGAAACACTCTCTACACCAGCTCTGATCACTAATCAGTCACTGGAAAACTTCACAACCACTGCAGTTGTCTTGCCAGTACACGTGAGCTCTCCCCTTCTCCTCAAGAAAAAAAGTGGAGAGAACCAGGATCTGAAGAGTCACAATAGTGGTATTGTGGACTAAGGCATTTTATGTATCTTTTTAAATCCAGCTCAAAGAAGGAAAAATACACTTGAAGGATGAATGTAGGATGAAGGACTCTTTAACAATACTAGTATAGGCTACAGGGCAGTGTACTAATGGGACCTAATATTTGAATGTGATGTAAACATGATAGCTGATAATCTGATTTAATCCACTGTAAGAAATTTCATACAAAATACTGTCTGGTCTTAGTACAATACTATAAAAGGATTCAATGGCTTTAATTATAAGTTTCTTCCATCTTAACATTCCATGTTGGGAATGTTTTCTACATACCAGTAGCATCAAAGTCACCAATGCTAAGTAACTGTGTGATCTGTTGAAGACTTGTACAGTGTACATGATTGTATGTTAGTACATGTACATGTATTACTGCTGTTGATAATGTTGCAGGATAGTTATCTAAATTATCATTATGATCACTGTGTTTCCTTGTATCCTTGACTGTTGTGTTGAAAGTAATTTATTGCATGGATAAACAAGGAATCAGGGAGTTTATCAGACTTCTGGGAAGTATTTTGGGCTTTCATGAGATTCAAGTTTACAGACCTATGTGGAAAGTGTTTTTGGAAGGGGTGGGGTGGTGGGTTGTATGATCAAGCATTACACCACTTCAGACAGACAAAGCCATAAACTCAGCCATCAAGCACAATAATTCTATACCCTAAAGGAATTACCGGTATGACTGAATATATTACAGTCTGTCTGTTTTCATGGAACTCATACTTACTAATGGAATTGCATATGTATTGCTAGCTGATTGGAATGGTACAGGTCAATTCAGTCATGTAATGTACGATATTGGACAATTGCATCTACTTTGAAAACTAAAACACAAATTTTCATTACACATTTTCATTGATGATAGTATTTACACTATGAGGAAGATTGTACATTTTGTTTGAGGACTCTTTCAAACAGTAATGTTGGGGTAATTTACTCTCCAATAGTTAGTCCTCTATACCCAAACTGTCCACATTTCCTCCCAGCCACCTTGCAGCCAAATTTCAGCACTTCCTCCAGAGGTAGGCTGCGGCACATGGCTGCAATGATCGCGCCGTTAAACGTGTCTCCTGCCCCCAGTGTGTCGACAACCTGGTCAGGGGAGAAGGCGTCAGCGTGGTGGTGGACACCGTCAGGCCCCATGGCGTCTGCTCCCAACTCTCCCCATGCACAAACCACCGTGGCGCTGAGGGCACAACATGAAAATGAGATGAGAAATATGAATACAAGGTTAAGAGACATCTAGCAACTCTTTGCTGAACTGCTGTCTTTACAATTAGACTCCGGTGTTGATGCAGCATTTTCTGACATGAACAATGTCTGATTGATTTCAAATTTGACGGTTGATCTTGTAGAAGAAAGGCTTTTAGTAAAATGACATTAGAATGAATTTTGTCCATGACGTCTCACCCTTTCTTGACCCTTCTGTGAAACCCCTCCACTGCTGCCTGGGCTGTGGGGAAGCCATGATGCTGGGCATACTCCTTAGCAACAAACATCTGAAAAATATACCGACATCATGTTAATTTGTAAGCAAAATTGTCAGCAAAAATGGTGCAAGAAACAGTCTGTCAGCTTAAAAAGGCTGCTTAAAAAAACTAATACTAAGAACTGTAAGGAAGTTCTGACTCACTACATCTACTGTCGAGATGAAGTGTTCTGGATGATATTTGGCTTTCTCACACTCCCCGGAGATGATGACTCTGTCCTCCATGGAGCGACTGCGGTTATACTCCTGCACAGCATCCACCATCTTAGCAACCTCTGTCATGTTGCGGCCCTAACAACCAAGTTTACACAAAAAATTCAGAAAATACACAAATTAGATACAGCTCATACAATGAAATACATCAGGAATACATGTAGTAATAACTGTAGCATGCACAGGTATTGTACAAGGTAAAGATGCTGATTATTTGTGTGATTGCATCATCGCTATAGTATGGACTCAGCATGTGGGGTATGGACAGTAGATGAAAGTGTGCTGTAACCTTAGTCATGGGATTCTCTCCTTTAGATTCAGTTTGTTATACAATCGCGTGGGAAGAAGGAAATCAGTGTGCCTACAACAAACTGAATCTTAAGGAGATGTAAACAAAAAAAGTTAAGGTGCATGCACATATCTTGACATATTCTTCCCTGCTTTAATCTCAAGTCAAATTGTTGTCTTTACATTAACATAAAAGTGAAGAAAACTACTACTAGTAGATAACCTGTCTTACTTCAAAGTGTATCCACTTGTACTGGTCCAGGTCTAGCTTGTGGAAATCTGACAAGGTCAACTCAGGTAGGTTGCTGGGAGATGGTTCAGTAATGAAAAGTAATGTAAGAGTTAGTTAACATTTTAAAGCTTTAATTGGCCAAGTCGATTGACTAATGTAAAATCCAACTTAAATCAAATTATGTAGTAGACAACCAGAGTTTCAATGTAATATTTTAATCATGGTGATCATAAAATTTACTGATTGCTACAAATAGTATTCTATACTTTTTGGGTTATTTTGTACATGTCCTGCTGTTGCCTTACTTGTCAGCATGTATGATAGTCCTGGTCCCTGTGCTGGTGTTGATAATGATAGTTGAGGAGGGAGAGGCATACCCATCATGCATTACAACCTGGTCCACATCCACCCCAAACTCCCGCATCTCATCCAGAACCATGCTGGAAATAGCCATGGAATAAATATTTATATGAGCATACCTTTGCCAAATGACATTAACCTTCATGATTGACATATCATGAATGTTCCTCATTGATTGTGAATTAAGGTCCTCTTTTGATGATCTGAAGATGATGATGCATAAATCATATTAGTTGATCATATTCTTTACCCAATATTTGAGCACTTCATACCTTTTCAAATTATGGTAATCTTTAATACAACACAAAAACCGCAGTTATAAATCCAGGGAATAGTTTTCCAACAGCCCACTACCACATGTTAGTTGTCCTGGATTCCAGGCCAGTACCCTAATGACAGCCTGTCTTAGGTATGTTACAGTACAGAATGGAAGGCAGCCTGAAGTTTTCCTCATTTGAATATTGAAGCCGTGAGAATGCACTCTACTACCTTTGCCAGGAAACTTATATTTTTGGTAGCATTTTTATGTATTTATGTATGCAATTTGCATAGATATGAAATATACAATAAGGAAATTCTATAAATTACCTGTGTTCCATGAAAGGATTTTCAACATGTGATATTGTGTAAAATTACCTTACCTCAGTCCACATCTTGAGCACTGAACAGAAAGGGAACATACTGCCAGTATTAATCTCTAAGCAGATCATACGGTGGCAAGGCAGTATCCATTGGCCAGTGGAGTGTCCATTTCAGTGGCTAATGGCTAATGCCTTGCCACCTTATGATATGATTGGAGATTAGCCAGTAAGCGGTGCTATAGACCGTTATGATAAGTATGACTTTAGGTTTTAACATATCAGCATATTATCATAAGGAAAAGAAGGGACATTAATGTTATAGTTATAGCTTACTCCGCTGCCCTTCCTGTAGCCAAAGTTCCGAAGTACGCAGTCTGTTCTCCTAACTGTGCCACCACAGCCGCACTGTTGGCACAGTTCCCTCCCTTCTGCCAGATCTGACGTTCAATTCTGGAATTAGACAAATTCAATTGTTACAGATGCCATGTCCCAAATAATATTAAGTGTTACATGTATTTTACAAATAATGAACATTTGTGAAATTGAATGTGAATCAATATTGCTTTTTGATTGGCCATTTCATAATCATTTAATTGGCAATTTGCAACATTACGTATTAAAATTTTTCAGGCAGAGTCATGATGAACTATGCATCTATCTGCCATCCATGTTCTGGCATGGCAACAGACATCTTTGCCCATTTTCAGCATGTTGACCACTGTCAGAGGGCAACAAAATTTCTTGTTTTTACTTTTAAAATCTTTTATTTTAAATATCAGGCGAAAATTAATTGAAACTTTATTGCATGTCCATTCCCCGGGGGGATAAATGCACGGATATACAAATACGCGCCCGCTCATGTCCCATAAGAATTACTTGCTTTGGCCTGAGTAACAAAAGTTGAGCAATAGCCTGGTGTCCTGGATTCTATGGTAGTTGGGGCGGGCATTCTTCGGGACTATATTAGTTTTCCCCGCCCATTTCAACCGGCCGCCTGGTGGGAGTTTCTGCACGGTAGGAGTTGATTTGATCGTGGTGGGGCTAATTGAACCCCCATCGTGCAAAACAAAACCGCCTGACAGAATTCAGTCGGCGGCGAAGAGCTCTAGCAGCCCCGAGGAAGCCATCCCGAACCACGATTGACACTAGGCTACAAGTTCACCACCACAAACGGGGATCGGCACAAGGGTCATTGGTAGATGAACTTAATGTGGCCAGCACTTTGTTTATTTTTTGGATGCTCAAGTTATTTATTTACTTTCGTCCTTGGTTCTGGTTACTATGAATCCCCGGCCGTATTAGGTCGTGCCCCGCCCCCTCCCTTTTACCACCACCACCTGGGCGTGATGTCGTACGAGAGACCTTGTTCAGTCGACAGAAGATAACGTTACATGTACCTGTTATCAGTGTCCTCCACGGGGTAGTGGTCCACCACACTCAGGATATCCAGACAGATCAGACCGGCGCACAACACCTTCCTGTCACCCCTGGGCTGGAGCATTTTTGTTCCCTCTTGTAACTTCACTAACTACTCCTATCTTAAGGGTTCACAACTCTTCTGAGATCTCATTCAGACTTCGACCAAATTTGCAAACTTTGATCTCCAGACCAACAAGCGTTTCCAAAGGTTGCGTCTTCGTGCCGACTGTACTCATGTTTTGAACTTTGGCCACTTAGTACATACATGTATATGTATAAATCAGCTGTTGACCTTTGAACTAACCTGGGTGCCAGACTGTTTCCAGGGTCCGAGCTAGTGTACAGGATAGCTATTAAAGTTTGGTCGCCCTAGCAGAACTGCTGATGCTTTTTTGATAAAAACTTTCAATGAGGATTGCTACAAAAACTCAAGATGAGCTATAATATCACAGAAATCTTATTTTGGTCGTAATGCTGTGTAATGATGGTACTGTTCTACTTTTTATGCCATTTTCTTTGGGGAACTCAAAACCAGAAATAGGTAAGTGTAGAAATTAAGGAAGAAAGATGAAACCTATTACTATGAACCAGGCTAGGGATGTCTAAGGAAACCTTAGTGAGTTCAAATTTTGCGTTGGAAATTGTTTCAGGGAAGTCTACATTTTCTTACATCCATTTCACAATAATAATGATGTAGGATGAGTGATATGATCATACTTCTCATTTGCATACTTAATCAGAAAATCCTATACTTGCTATTATGATTCATGTAATTCAGCAAGTATATTGAAATATAGATTTTGTCAACTAGAAGATGCAGTATTTTGTGGAGGCCAAATCATGTCAACGGCATGGTAAAAGAGGACCAAGTGTATACACAGGCTACTGTACCGCTAATTAATGTTTCCACATCAAGTAGCCTTACCTTACACTGTATACATACGTACTGTATGTGCACTCAAAATTTGGTTAGAATTAAAATCTTTGAATTAAAACAAAACACAGGGGCCAGCAAAAAAGGAAAAGAATTAACCATATGTGCAATGCCATTACATCGTCAATGTATACATTTTATCTAACAAGAACAAATGTTAAGATGAGGATAGAGTTGCTAGCTACATGAAATATCATTCCATTGTACATTTTTGTCAACATCTACCAGGTATAAATACAATGCAATGCAATAATATTTTATTTTTGCAGCAATGTAAGTAGAGCCAATATACATGACAATAGCACATAAAAAGTTTTCACTGTTCATGATTGTGTAAGGTTATATATTTAAAAAGATAATAACTTGCTTCTATTGGTTCTGCTTCCATCCTATATATACATGTAGTACATAACATTAATATGTGCCACTAACCTGTTCCAGTGACTAAGGGTACCATTCTCCATTGTTAGTATGGTGAACCATTTCATTACAAGTAACAAGATAATCTGAGACTCCAACATCTCTGAAGCATGTAACGCATGTGATAATACATCTACTTTAAAGGCCGATATTTGTTTTTACAGCATACTACTACACTCCATCTCCCTCCTCACGAAATGTGAACTGTTCCTAACTGTGTAAACAGTAGAACATTCCAGTTATGCAGCAGAGAAAGCCTCTCCCTCTGCAGCTTAACTCCCTCTGGCATGTAACTCCCTCTGGCTGCCTTTAGATCAGTGCTCCCCCCCACCACCACCACAACCACCACCAAACAAATGCCACCGCTCTAGCCTCTACCAGGCTTGGGGAGGTGGCTGAAAAGAGTAGAAATTGGCCAAATAGAGAGATAAGCATGCCAAGGGAGTTTGTCCGTTGAGAGAACATTTTGCCGTGTTCCAGCCACCTCCCCAAGCCTGGTAGAGGCTACCACCACTCCACATGTCTGCAAAGGAGGCTACTTGGTTCTCTTATTCCAAATCAGGCCTGGTCTAGCCAAACTTGTACCCATCCCTAATCTTTGCCTACACTAATCTTTGCCTAAACTAGTTTATATTTTCAACTTTGCATGGGTCACACTCAAAGTCTTTTCATCAATGTGCATCTTCATATGCAGAAACAAACGGTCCTGTTGAGTCGTCTTGAATCCACACTCCCCACATATGTGGGTTTGTTCACCAGCGTGTTTAGCCTTGTGTTGGTCTGAAATGCATTTCTGTGCAGTGGAAAAGTCACACTTCTCACATCTGTAAGTTTTTTGCTCGACGTGCATTCTCATATGCAGCAGTAAGATGTCTTTGTGAGTTGCCTTGAATCCACACTGCCCACAGATATGAGTTTGCTCAACAGTGTCTGCCACTTTCTGTTGGTTTAGAATGCATTTCTGTGTAGAAGATAAATCATTCTGGTCCAATTTGCAAGTTTTTTCTACAATATGCATTCTCATATGCAGAAGTAGTTGGTCCTTATGGGTTGCCCTGAATCCACATTCTCCACATATGAAGGCATGCTCAGGAGTGTGTTTGATCCTGTGTCGGTCTAAAATGTATTTCCGTGTGGTAGAATAGCCGCACTGGTCGCATTTGTGGGGTTTCTCACCTGTACGTTTTTTCATATGTCGGGATAACTTGGTGCTTTGTGCTGCTCTGTACCCGCACATCCCACAGATGAAGGGTTTCTCACCTGTGTGCTGTTTCATATGCACAGCTAGGTTAGACTTGCTGGCTGTCCTGAACTCACACTCCCCACACATGAAGGGTTTCTCACCGGTGTGTACAAGCATGTGTCTGTCCAAATCACTTCTACGTAGTGCAGAATGGTCGCATTGATCACATTTGAAGGGTTTCTGACCAGTGTGTCTGAAGGTGTGTATGTCTAAATCACGTTTTGAGGCAGCAGCATAGTCACATTTGTCACACTTGTAAGGCTTCTCGCCTGTATGTTTCCTCATGTGTATTGTTAACTCAGACTTGTAGGCTGTCCTGAACCCACACTCCCCACACATGTAGGGCTTCTCACCGGTATGTTTAAGCATGTGTCGGTCTAAATTACCTTTATCTGCACTAGAATAATCGCACAGGTCACACTTGAAAGGTTTTTCACCAGTGTGTGTCCTTATATGTCGAACAATATTTGCCTTATCAGGTGTTCTGTGCCCACAAACTCCACACATGAAGCGTTTTTCACCAGTGTGTGTGACCATATGTCGTTTCAGGTGGCTCTTCCATGCTGTAGAAAAGTCACACTGATCACACCTGTAAGGCTTTTCACCTGTATGCCTTCTCATATGTTGCAGAAAGCCAGATCTGTAAGTTGCCTTGTATCCACATTGTTCACATACAAAGGGTGTTTGCTTATCTTGCTTTGCAGAACCACCTGCCATCTGTTCTGCATCAGTTGGGGTTTTCTCATTCCACTGGGACAAGTTTCCTTCATGTTTTTCCTCCAATAAAATGTCCCTGTTCCTCCGTCTGTCCTGCCGTTCCTTTTCTGTTGTCTGCTTGCCCCTCCTAGGCCTGCCTCTCTTGTTCCTAGAACATCTTGTCGGTGGTACGTCGATCGACTTGTCCATATTGAATTTTCTAATAATTTTAGAAATAAAAAAAAACATCAAACAAACTAGACAGATATTAAGTAAAGATTACATGTATATAGGGAATTAAATAACGCATGCCGCTCACCCCCCAACATATCTGATCCGTGATTCGATTTTTCTGTCCAAGAAGGCACTGGTTTCTCTACCTTGCCTGGAAGCCAGACTAGTATCGGTCCTGTTTCCTTCGGTAGTCAAGAGCACAGAATTACCGCTACGGGGGAACGGGGGAGTCCGAGAGGAGTTGATATAGGGGGGCCCCCAAGCCCTTTTCCGTAGAGCGTAATCGGCCGTTTTAATTCTACGTAGAGCGTAGACGGACCCTCTAATTCAACGTAGAGCGTAATTGGCGAATTTGGCGTAGAGCGTAATTCGCTGTTTTAATTCTACGTAATGCGTTGTAGCTATCGGGAATTAACCGTAAAGCGTAATTGATTAATTGTGCGTAGAGCGTAATCCAAGCCGCAAACGGGAACTCGAGGCCTCGCAAGTGCCGGGTTGTCGCGGCGCTCGAGGTCTTTCTTGCTTTACCCCCTTCTATACAATCGAACAATCCACTAGACTTGTTCCCAGAGCCATACACAAGAACAAGGCAACACATGGGAATGATCCCACAATGCGCTGGGTACGAGATTGACCTTACCATCGGTGACGTACAGGAGGACCATTGGCCAAACGCCACAGATGGCCACAGATGAAGAGGGTAGAAGGCCTTAGAACCACATGACTTGTAAGGCCCAATAGGGGCCCTCAAGACGTTTCTTAGCGGGAACATCATTGCTGATCAATGGCCAGGGTAATGGAGGACACTCCCGAAAAGAGCAATGTCATCCCCGTCATTGTGCGGGTGATGGGTAACGCGGGACCGTCAGCAATCGGCAGCTGAGTCATTTTGACAAATTACACTGTATTGTTTGCGGCCTTTTCTACCTTCGGACGACAACCCCACAAGGCTCAAAGGTCCACTTTTTGGTCCACTTTTTATCTAAAGGTCCAAGACTTTTCTTTAAAAGATGAACTGATTCGTGTCACCAGCAAGGCTGGAATCCGTTGTAGGAAAACTGCTCACTTTGTCATTGAAAAAGTTATCTCTGATTTTTTCTTTGAAACCCTCTAAAAACGCAGGAAATGCCATTTCAGAAGGTTCATTTTTCAAAGTTGGCCCCCCTTCAAAATTCTGGCTACGGCCATGTTACCTCCATTCACGGATCTCCCTCCGATCTTCGGGCGATCGACTCGCGGTCAAGTTGGTACCTGCGGTAATACTGAATACCCCGTTTTGTATTCTATACTTTCAATGTATAAGGAAGTGACCGCCGGTTACTACTTTTAATTCAAGTTATGTCACCTCTACATGTAATAAATCAAAAGGTTTTCACGCAAACATGTAGTTGCTAGGTGATTGTCAGATTGAGTTCTGCATAGTGCGTCCGGAATCTTTCGAATTTAGCGTAGAGCGTAGAGAGGCGTCCGGAATTCAGCGTAATACGTAGCCGGCTCTCAAAATTTAGCGTAGAGCGTTGTCGGGACCCCCCCTTGGAGGCCCCCATATAGGGGATAGACCGATATACCAGTAGCACTGAAGCCCGCGGTACACAGCTGCCCCCCACCCCCAAAAATGCCCTTGGTCAGATAAAACACACACAGTATGATCACTGCTGTATCATTACCACGAATCATGGGGTAGAACAAAGCAAAGACCTACCTGTCTTTGTACAATAGTATATATGTAAGTAGCGCTACTCCCAGTTCTGAAGAAAATCACGCCATTTCATTTCTGATTCTTTGACGCCGACCACACACAGTAACCATTTTCCCATACCCAAGATGCATTGCGCCTGGGGGTAAAATTTCCCAGGTTGCATAGTACAGCAGGCGCTAGGCCCTGTAGTACAGCTTGTTCTTTGCCAAAAACCTCCCTGCTATGGGTCGAATTTGACAAGTAGAGAATTGAATTTTGTGTGTTCTTTTTTTAATAGAAAAAGGTGAAAGGTTGATGAAATGGGCTTTCTTTAAAAAAAAAGGCGTTCATGTTCAAACTTTAAGTTAAGTTTCAAAATTTACCTGCCAGATTTAGTTAACCCCCAGAGAGATACTAATTGGATAATATAAGGTACAAGGAATGCAATAAAAATCATTACCATGGTGACGATTGAATGATTATTGTTGTATGTGGTGGAGCCAGAAATCTCTAGCCTGAGTGTCAGCCTTGTTAGCTTTCGTCCGCTACCCAAGGTCCGCTCCCGGGGAGCGGACCTTGGGTAGCGGACGAAAGCTAACAAGGCTGACACTCAGGCTAAGAAATCTCCATTACAATTCTAAGAAAAACTTATGTTCACTACACTTCCTCAACTCTTCCCCCTGCCAGCCCCACTCGTAGCCTTCCTCAACTCTTAGCCCTACCCCACTCGTAGCCCTTCTCAACTCTTCCCCCTATCCCACTCATACCCTTTATCCTTCAGAGGAGGAACAGCTGTTACTTCATGTTTGTAATAAAATTGTGTCACTTTTACCATATGAGGATGGATCTAATAGATGGCAATTATATTTGGACTTGTTGGATGTTATTGAAGAAACCTTGTTACTTCAGACCCAAAACACGTCCAGGTCTACCACTCACAGTTACCCACATAGCAGTGCTTGTCACAGCAAGCACTTAGTCTGCAAGGCCCCTTATTTCCATTATCAATGAGGCAAAAGGAAAACAACATTTACAAAAGCTCATATTTAATGTAACGTAGGTGACTTCTCCGAACTCTTGTATTACATGCCTTACAAGTTATGTTAGTTTTACCAGGACATGTATGCAGACCTAAATATCTGTACAGCAGTGTGAATACTACAGTGGTATGAAAACAAATTATCACAACTCCCTTAATCCTAATTACTAACAGATAACCTTGTTATGTCATCAGTATTTGGGACAAAAAAGATTTAACCCTTTTGAGAGATATTGTTTTGGGTGGCAATATCACCTAACAAGTTTACTTGCATGAGGTTCACTAACATTCATGATCATAGTCTTTTTTACCCTATCAGACAATCTGTTCAGTGCAGGTAGGACAACTATGGGCAACTAGCCTACATACATTATCAGTAACATGTCTTGCCTTCCATATGCCTTTGCAGTAGTCTTAACGTAATCTAGCATGATATTATCTTGGGTAGAACTTTATATAGTTTTGCATGTTGCTTCCTTTTGGCTACTCTCTTACACAGTCTAGGTACATGTAGTTTATACTGCATCTACTTTGCTTGTCTCTCTAGGTCTCTGCTCAGTAGTTAGTCATCTCTAGGTCCGTCTGTTCCTAGGCTTGAGTTCCTCAGCACAGCTGCGCAGCAGGATGCAAGGTTTCTGCTGTTGTGGGTTGTAGTACTCATGGCCCTGGGGTGGGGGTGAGGGATGAAAGTCAAATCAACTTTGTCTCAACTTATTTTATTTTTATCGAGCATAGGTAAAGTAAATGATTGTGAACAATGAAAGATAAAGAAGTCAAGTGATACACCTGTCATTAGTTTACAACAGGAATGTTATACTCTATTCCACCACCAGAAAATACCCAGTGAAGATTACTAGTAGCACAAAACTGAAGACATGAGTGTCTGCACATGGCAATATCTAATGGCACCACAACAGCAAACAAGACTTGTGTAAGGCTGTTAACACTTTCTGAGGAAGTCAAAATATTATCAAGTTAGTACAAGTAATACCTAATTCTATATCTATAAGTTATATCTATAGTGGATTGGATGGATTCCGAATTAAACAGAGCCCATTGGACACTGTTTTTAACTTAAAATTGGGGGTCGATTTCCAGTGTGTTGAGTAAATTACAAAACACACCCACATAATGAGAATTCAACTGTTCTTCAACTTAAAAAAATTGACTAACCGGAAGTTTCAACCGAATCACTGAGTCTTCGT